CTTTCATCGGTTCTTCACTGCACCTACACATCACTATCGATCACGGTCTCAACATCATATGGAGAGATGTCATACAAAGCTAAGCCACATCCGGCTCAAACCACATCAATTCAAAGACTACACAAGAAACAGTATCTTAATCCCCTAGGGTATCGTATCAACAATCTCCTTCCCGCTCTCCTCCCACTAGCAAGATTTCACTCTCTACAAGAAGAGAGCAGCAACGGCACCAACACCGGCAAGCGCACCGCCGACCTTGAGACCGGAAGCAGCGCCAGTGAACTCGGGGTAAGGAGCACCGGTTCCGCTACCGCTTGGGGCAGCAGTGCCGGAAGCGACGGGCATGGTGCCGACGGAAGACGCATCGGGAACCATGGGAACGCCGGTGCCGCCCATGACGGGGGCGGGGGATGAGGGGGTAGCGGCCATAGGGGTGGTGGTGGGGTAGTAGGCGCTGGACATGGAGGGGGCGACAGGGGTGTGTGCCAGAGTCCTGGAGGGAGTTGTTAATAATCTGAATATAGACGAGAAGGAATTGAATGTGATAGGATAGCAGGGATATGTAAGGGCAGACCTACTCGGTGACGGTGACAGTGACGGCAGCAGAGCAGACCTCCTCAGAAGCAGAGGGGTACTGGGCAGCGACAGCTGCGATGAGAGAAGCGGCGACGATGGAGAAACGCATTTTGATGGTTGATGGTTTGTTGAAAGGTGTTGGTGAATGTAAGAAGATGGGTATCAAAAGAGACAAACGTCGAGTTGTTGGTAGTAAAGACTGTGGTTGGACTTGGCTTGCAAGGTAAAAAAGAGTGGCTAATAGTATACTAAGTACTATTGATTATTGGAGATCGTAGGATGAAGAAGAAGAATGAGAGGTAGGACACGAGGCGGTACACAGGGTCTTATACAGGGCTCATATTAGCAGTCATATGACGGAGAGATGGAAGGGTGGTATCGCATGTGGATTAGGACGCGCCAGCCTCGCTCAACGATCGACTGCAGTGATTCATTTCCTCGCGGCTGGTAGTCTAGATTGGATGGGAGATCCTTGCACGACAGGTGTGGCGAGCTACGTGAAAGGTTCACAGGTTGGGATGAGCGATAGCGGAGATTGTGTTGGTTGATCGACGGGTGGTAGGAGCGCGATGCTTGAAGTTTTGAAAGCAGTAAAGTTGCGTCAATGGTAGTGGGGGAGTGTTGCGCGTCTTCTGGGCTTTTTGTGGTTTCTGTTTGCGCGCATGAATTTGCGTTGTACTTTTTTTCGTTTCATAGTCGTTGAATACTTTGGCATCAAGGCATTCGACGTGTCTTTGGAGAACATGTTGTTTCGAAACATCCCCAATCAAACCACCAACTAACAAAGCGGCCGACATATGAAGGTCATTTTGATAGGAGCGGCACGATATTAGCACGCGGCGCCTTCCACCATTCTGAGACGTTGGTGGACCCCTGACGCTAGCCCCTTTCCGTTTAGGCTACTTGAGTGAACATGAATGTTCCGCAGGTAAGGAAATGTACCTGTCGATCTTGCCTCTTATTCTCGCTCAAATCCGCTTTTTATGCATGAAAGGAGACCGCGAGCTGTGGGCGGGGAGTCGCAGACGTCATACTGGAAGAGCAAAGGTATTGCGACGAGAAAACCATAGTAAGCTGATCGTCAAGTAGACAGAAGGTGATGTGAGGAACTTCGTATTCGCTAATCTAGCAACGAACAGAAATCCGGGGTATACCGTATTGCTCTAGAGTCGTTAGTGATGCCGCGTTCCGGTGGCTGCAACACTGACCCAGTATGAATACACCTCCAACGCCAGACATGCTTACGCCTCAGCAGCCGAAAAATGCCAAAATCAGCTCTACTTCACCCTGCCCATAATCGGATCAGGGGGCGACTCTTCCCCAATAGGTTCTGCAGCCTTTGCTTTAACCGCGTTCAACATGCTCCGGTCAAAGTCGTCCCTCGTCTTCAATACGGCTTCCACCCATGTAATAGTGACATCGCGATAAGCAGTCTTGAACTCAACGTACGCAAACTGCACTTGCGACTTGTCGCATTCAAGCAGCTTGAGGAACTCCTGCACAGCGCGCCATCGCTGCATGATGTCGGCACCTTGCTCGCCGAATGTCCTGAACCATTCGAATGCTGTGAGAAGATCGTCCTTCATCTTTGCTGCAAACTGGTCCGTTCTCTTGAACTTGGCACCCTTGTTGCGCACGGCCCCAAGATACTGAACAAGCAACTCATCGGCGAGAGAGTCGATGATAAGATCCCGCAGCGAGCGGTGAATGCGGGGGATAAACTCCTCCACATAGTCTTTGAAAGTTGTGATGATAGAAGCCATATCAGTCCTCGAGTACCACTCCGGTGTAAAGAACTTGCCAAGCACAGGCTTGAGATCGACAATAAAGATGAGCTCGCTAAAAACTTGTATGCAGTGAGATGAAATGTCGATATAACCGTTCTTCGCTTCATCCACGTTCCTGGCCAGCTTGTCGATCATGTAGTCTTGCGAGACAATGGGCGTGACTTCGCGTTCAAAGACAGTCAAGAACGAGGCTCCACCACTACCATCAATATCGTCGTCAATGCAAATGATTTGGTCATTTGCGAGCGCGATAAGCCATTCTTGCAAGACATAGGTCTCATCCTCGTCTTGCACGAAATTTGGTCCGAGATATTTAGTCTTTTCATCATCAATGAGCTGAGTCCATATACGCTGGCGAGACAACAAGGCACGGAACATGGCGTCAACGACACCGTCAGCAACGTCAGGACGCTGACTACTGGCGGCGACACCAATGTTCTGGCTGAAGAGCGTCCACATATCTCCCAGTGATCTGGTTTGGGTGATGCCGTCAAAGTTGGTCTCGTATGCTGTTTTGTCTTGCTCCAGGAACCTTTGTCTATCCTGATTGTTAATGCGTTCCATATATTGGTCGACGGCTTGAATGATGACGGAGCGGTAGGTACGTATCAGCTCGGGACTGCGGTTGTCGATGACATGCGGCTGCAGTTGCTCTTCCGAGTACCCAAGCTTCTGCATCTTCACGTAGTACTTGTCCACCCAGTTGATGACAGCTAGCAGGTATTGCGGTCCAAGAGCTTCATCGTCGGCAAACTCCATAAGAAAGTCGTGCATCTGCTTGTGGTAGATGTTGGTATATGTGTCGAAGATCTTCCACTTTTTGGGCATGAGATCGACCATGCCCAACTTGACTGTGTTGAGGTTGTTAAAGTACCATTTGAAGGACTTTTCGATCTTGTCCGGGTCTTGCATGAATTCTTCTCTCGCCGCGTCCATTTCCGCCTTGCAAACATATTCGATGGAAGTGATGAACTTTTCCTTGTAGCCACGAAGCTCCTTGGGTCCTTGGGTAATGGACTTGAAGCGAGACGCAAGATCACCGAACTCCCTCTGCGCATCCTGCAGGGCCTTGATCTTCTTGTCCGTCTTCTCTTCTTCCTCGACTACGACGGCCAAACGGACCACCATGCCTACATTGTCGGTCTGCACCAGCTGTATCAAGTTTATGCATGCCTCCCCAACATGTCTGTCGAACCACTCTACGACGTCATCCAAGCGCGCGAAGAGGTCTTGGACGGTGACGCCGCTCTCTAGTGTGAGATTGTCGATGAGCTCGGTAGAGGTATCGCTGTTCTTGATCTGGCCCATGGCCTCGTCGCGGATGTCTCGTAGCTGCGTCAGGCCGTAGTGGACTTGCAACAAATTGGGCTGGTTGGCGGGGTCTTCGTCGTCCTGTGCCAGCAGGATCTCGAGGTTCTCCAGGCGGTCTTCGAAAGCCTCGATGTCGTTGCGCATCTTCTCGACGGATTCAAAGTTCTTGTGTGTTTGGGCTACCAGGTTGATGTGCGGGAAGTCCTGAATCATATTCTGGGCCTCGGCGCATAGCTTGTCTATCTTCATCATCTCCTCCTTGATCAGGTTGACGGTGCGCTGGCCCTCGGTGATGCTGCTCATGCCCGACTGGGTCAACTCGAGCTGCTCCTTGAGACCATGGCGGAGCTGGCCGTCGACGGCCGCCTTCTTGCGCGTGAATTCGGCCTTGAGTCCGGGTATCTTGTCGAGGTCCTCCGGGTGTCGCAGCAGCTCCGCGAGCTTGACCGTCGCCGACTCGACATCGTCCATGGTACTAGACGTGGATCAATTTGGCAGGCACGCGCCCATGGTAGGGGGGAGGTGGCAGACGGGGTGGTGCTATAGAACGGCGGGCGGGCGGCGTGTTGCTATACGTGTTCGGAGCTTTTGGTGATGTGAATGGACGGCGGGTGGTAGTAGTCTGGGGCTGATGCAGGTCGAGGGCTAGCGTGCCGGAGGTGCGCTGCGGGCAAAAGTTCCCACCCCGCCACTTCCTCGCAGTCGCCGACAAACTCATCCGCTCTTTGCACGCACGCGCACGCCCACAAGACCATGGCCGACGAAGAAGTCAACCTCTACGACGAAGTCGAGATCGAAGACTGTTTCTACGATGAGACTCTGCAGATCTACCACCACCCATGTCCATGTGGCGACCGCTTCGAGATTTCCATCTATGACATGCGCGACGGAGAAGACATTGCGCGCTGCCCCAGCTGTAGTCTGATGATACGCATCATCTTCGACCCGGTATGCTGTGTCTGTCCTCACGTGTCAGAAGCGAAGACTAATATGCGACAGTCCGATCTCCCGCCCGAGAACGACGATGCGCCTAAGAGCGTTGCGATTACCGCCTAGATTCCCCAGTTCCTATTTTCGTACTGTCGCAGGAGGACCTCATCCTAGCCTCTCAGCATCTACGGCGTTGTAATGCATATATCGGGCGTTTGAAGCATGTTGGTTATACCATGTGACCACAGCCTGGGAAGCAGAGTTGAGCGTGCGCAATCAAACTTCATTGTCGCTATTCGCTATTCGCTATTCGCTATTCGCTACCGTTGAATCATGTGTGCTCAGGGCAACACTGTGTTAGATGGAGCGTGTGCTACCAGGCATAGCCCGCTTGTCCTAACGCGGGACCTCATCGTCAACACTGACGTCAACGCCCAGCTCTTTCCTGAGAATCTCAGTCAGCGAGCTGCCGTCCCTCATGTACACCCAGTCGCCGATGCCTCCACCCTCCTTGAAGTCCATGCCCTCTTGTGCCACGACCCAGTCGAAACGCTTGGGACCGGATATCGGGGAGCTGAGCCAGATCTGCTTGTTTGGGGGTTGCTTGTTCAAAACAAAGGTATTCTGTTGCGAAGTGACTTCGAGGACGCCGGCCTGTGGTGGGATTAGTGTCAAGTGCTGGAGTATGCTGCGTAGTGTAGACTTACCGAGTAATCTACTTCGATCGCCGGGTCATTCTCCTGAGCCTCCTCTAACCTCTGCAGCAGCTCGCCCAGGTAGTGGTCTGCGCGCTCATGGAACTCCTCTATTGAGAGCTCGGCCGGTTTGCCAGGCTCGTCGTGGGCCTCGCTCTCCTTTGGCTTGGGGTCTTCTGAGTCGGGCATCATGCCCACTCTCATGCCCATTGATGCGTGGAAGCTGCGTACTGGGGCGGCATGGCTGATAGCTGGGGCCCTGCTAGCGATGATGCAATTGACGGGCGACTGGACGCGAAGGGAAGTGCGGGCGGCGCGACGGATGGCTGTGCCGGCAAATCGAGTGACTGGCTTCATTGTGATGGATGTGGAATGGGTAGAGAGCAATTGATAGAATTATTAGTGGTGGTGGTGGAGATTGGCGAGTAGTAGACGGGAGAGAGGCTTCTGTTCCTGGGCTGGAAGCAACTGGAGCTGGAGCATGGACCCTCGCCCATCTCCCCGCATCCTTCGGCGGGACATTGTCCAAAAGCCAATAGGAACAGCACCAAACACCACCAAACACCACCAAACATCACCAAACATCACCACCATGATCAACGCCGTCCTTGTCTTCAACAACGCCGGCCAGCCGCGCCTGACCAAGTTCTACACACAGCTGGTATTACGCGACATGTCATCTAGCATCGTGCTGCGAGACTGACTGGCTGACCACCGCCCAGGAAACCAGCGTCCAGCAGCGACTCATTTCCGAGATCTTCACCCTCGTCGCCAACCGTCCAAACTCAGCATGTAACTTCTTGCCGTATGTCACCTCGTGAATGTAGTCCCGCTCCCCGCTAACACACGTCTAGCCTCCCACCACTCCTCGCCAGCAGCTCCAAATCTAGCACGCCCACGACTCCTCACAACGACACACCGTCACTCGTCACCTACCGCCACTACGCGACCCTCTACTTTATCGTAATTTCCACGTCTACCGAATCGCCTCTCGCGCTCCTCGATCTGATCCAGGTCTTTGTGCAGGCGCTCGACGGCCTCTTTGAAAACGTATGCGAGCTAGATCTGATTTTCAACTTCGAGACACTACATGCGACACTGGGTGAGATGATAGTAGGCGGCGTGGTGGTGGAGACGCAGTTAGACAAGGTCATTCAAGGCGTCAAGGCACAGGGAAGAGTAGCCAAGAGGCCCGTCAACGAAGGGAAGAACATTGGTGGAGGAGGAGGCGGTGGTGGTGTCATGGGCGGACTGACATTCGGCGGTCTGGGAAGAGGAGACGGTATGTGGGCTGGGAGATGATGAAGAAGTTGCATGAGGTTTGCGATGCCAGAACTTTCACCGTCAAAACCATTGGACCCCCCAGCATCATCCGGCAGCCCACATCACTACGCTTCCAGCATACCAAGAAGCGACAAGCAACGGCTGAACCAGAACTTGTTGCTCGAACAGGGCTTGGTTCTGGATCTGGCCCATGGAACGCTGTCAGACTCCTCGGCCCTACTCCAGACGCGCTCATACCATCCACACCGACTCGGTGGACATTGACATAATTCTTCCAGGCATTACGAGTCGTCTACAGATGCATGGCGCATGCTTACACAGTCTGTGGGGTTACTTCAGGAAATTCCCCCGGACCGGGTAAACACATGGCAAAGGTCAAGGGTCGGGAGATGTTCGAAACGTCGCGCGTGGAGCCTTTGCCGAGCTGGGATTAATGGAAACAAGCTTTTAATCTATACGCCTTTAGTTCCCTTCCAAGCACGACTAGAGGGCGAATAACAACCGTGGGCTCTTCATCTATGCTGTGGCGCCGAAGATGTGGGGAGAAACACTTTATTCCAGAACTGCGTGACCTCATTTCCGCTGCTGCTGATTGCTGGATAGTTTCGGGGAGATCCTCTTAATGCATACGGCATCCCTTGAACCGTACACACGCTTCGGCTGAAGACAAGCTTTATAAGAGGGCCCAATCCCAAGACAATTGAAACCACCCATCCATTCATTCATTCTCTAGTCAACACCATGCGCTTCCTCACTGCTGTCACCAGCTTCTTGTCTGTAGCCGCAGCGGCGACTCTCGGCAAACGTGCCGTGACGCCTGGCACCCTCTCCCAAGTCACCTCATTCGGTGCTGCGCCTACCAAAGCGGGCTTCTATATCTATGTGCCCAAGAAGCTTGCGGCCTCACCAGGAGTCATCGTTGCTATTCATTACTGCACTGGATCAGCGCAAGCATACTACACTGGCAGCCCTTACAAGACGTTGTCTGAACAGTATGGCTTCATTGTCATCTACCCATCTTCCCCTCATGAGGGTACTTGCTGGGATGTTAGCAGCAAGGCGACGCTTAGCCACGAGGGTGGAGGAGACAGCAACACCATTGCCAACATGGTCAAGTGGACTGTCAGCCAGTACAAGGCGGATGCTTCCAAGGTCTTCGTTACCGGTTCCAGCAGTGGCGCTATGATGACCGTATGTTCGTTCGAATTCCACTTGTATTGACATGCTAACGTCTCTTCAGAACGTCATGGCAGCAACCTACCCTGAACTCTTCAAGGGCGCCATTGTCTACTCAGGTGTAAGCGCCGGCTGCTTCGTCTCTGCATCGGGTGGTGTCGACGCCTGGAACAGCACCTGCGCTCAGGGTAACTCTATCGCCACCCCTGCAGCCTGGGCCAATGTTGTCAAGAACATGTACCCCAGCTACACTGGTGCTCGTCCCAAGATGCAGATCTACCACGGTAGCGCAGACACTACCCTTCGCCCGCAGAACTACCAGGAGACGATGAAGCAATGGGTAAGTAGTTACGCGGTTGTCTCATGAGTCAGTCAAATGCTAACGAGACACACAGGCTGGCGTTTTCGGCTACGACTACAACAAGCCGCAGAGCACAAAGGCCAATGACCCCCAAAGCGGTTACACGAGGACTATCTATGGTCCTAATGTCCAGGGCATCTATGCACAGAATGTTGGACACACCGTGCCTATTCGGGGCGCGGACGACATGAAGTTCTTCGGCTTTGCCTAGGTCTGTGAAAGCGCAAAGATCTGCCATGCACAGTAGCCAAGTCCTTGCCGTGGCAGTATCGACGACACAGAGACTTTTCGATGTACATATTCCATCACTGCGTATATCACCGAGATATGGCAGAAATATATACTTTCTCTCCCCCTATTCATTGAACTTTGCTTTCCTGTTGCACTCACCACTAGAATCTTATTCACGAAGCCTATCGCTCATCCAGCTTCCTTACTCCGAAAAAGACGTCCCCAACGTTTGCGTTTCGGCGACTCGTCTTCATCGCTACTCCAGTCAAACTTACTACTGAGTTCTGGCGTCGGTCCATACACGGGACTTTCCCCTATTCCACTATCATACCGCTTTCTGCCTAGTGGCGGCATAGGCTCAGGGTGCGGGTGTGCTAAAGGACTGATACCAACATGCCTACCTGAATGCAGACTACAACCGTTCTTGCGATACTGCTCATTCATGCACCCTTCGTCGTTATCCCAGTATTTCTGGCTGAGCTCATGGACACGGCGAGAAGGAACGTAATCTTCATACTCACTCTCATCACGATACCTACCACCAGTATATCGATTGTTATTTGCTGTTTGCATACGCTCGTATCCCTCCTCTGTGAAATCGAAAATTGGTCCTAATGCCGCGCGAGTAGCATTTGCCGTCTCGGAAACCTTTGTGCGCCATTCGCGACTCAAGTTAGGTTGTTCTTGATATGCTGTTTTTCGGGGAGTCTTGTATGAAGAAGAGGGTAGTGAGGGTTGAGCGAAATGGGATTCTAAACGTGAGCGGTCTTGCAGTTTTACTAAGTAACGATATTCATCGTTAGGGAGGTAGTCTGAGGAGATGGTTGGGCGGTAATGGACGGCTGGGTGGTATGATTTGGGGTGATATTCTGTAGGTGTGTACGTGCAGGAGAATGTTGGTGACATTGCCAGTGTGATTGAGGGTTCTGGTGCATTTTTGGGGTGTTGTTGTCGTTGTTTGGAACCTATTCGGAATAAAGAGATTATTTGGCATTGAAAGGAAAACGTCTCTGGAATCTATGGTGGAAGATGTTATGTGTGTATAGTGTTACTGGAGTCGCGCCATAAGGTTTGTGAACGCTGGTAACTGAGTAGGCAGAAGTGCTAACATCGTGAACTTACGATATTATTATTCTTCTAATCGAAGTACTCATATAAGAAACCCATTACTAGAAACTCCTGAGAAGTCTCAACGGTACCCCTACCTGATGGTAAACTGTTGTCCTTCTCTATATCTCATAACTAGCATGGTTTCGGGCCTGCAAGGTCAGATCTACGACGATCCCGTCGGTTGGCTCTTCGTATCAGCCACCATTAGTCAAAACCCGCGTCACCAAGACTAAAATTGCTGAGTTACACTGGAGACACTATCTGACATGTGCTTTGATGGCTTGTGGATGTCGCGACATGAAGCTTGCCGTGCGTACCTACGGGAACGATGACGTAACGATCCCTTCCCAGCCTCTTCGACCAGAAGAAACGCCGGACTTCATCTTCCACGTCCTTTTGCATCATCATCACAACGCAACTGATATTGTCCGCTGATGTTGGAAGCAATGGTAGTTGCTTGTCTCGATGTTGATCCTTGATGGATGTGGTGAAGAAGCAAAGTTCTCGTGGTGGCGATGAAGGCGAAAACTCGGCTGCTTCGGCAATCTGTACTCAACGGTACCACTTGCAACAAACTGCGCAACACCTGTCTAATATACTTTTACTGAAGCCTATCGGAAGAAGCTATAAGCTGGGGGTCTAGAAGAACTTGGTCCAGAGCACGAAGAGATTGAATATGGCATCTGCAGCAGTCAACGGCGATCGAGCGACAGATCTTACAGAGACTGTTGTCACGCTTCAGCAAACGATACGGAAGTTTATAAGAGACGCAAAAGCAGGACGCGAGGGCTTTGTGTTAAGACCAATAGCTCCTACCAACGATCAAGCGAACATGGCATACGTAAGCGTAACGTCTGCCGACAAGGAGACCGAGGATCAATTGCAAGTTTTGAAAGAACGGCTACAGATCTCAGAACAGCAGCTGCGATCCAGAGGTGACTGGCAGCCACCACAACAGCTACCCAATCTGTCAATATCGGCAATTCTGGACCTCGCTGACCTTTCCAACGCTGTTACACTATTGGACCATTTGATCAACTCTACAAAATCAACTCAACAGAATACTCCACAAACTACCTTGTCATCATACACCTGGACTTGGGATCCCACATGGCATGAGTTCTACACCTACATACCCGCTCAACAGGTCTGGGTCTATCTTTCACGATGGAAGTTAAACGAAATCAGAAACGTTTGGGAGCACGTGAGCATGTCTGGTGTCAATCTGATGCCGAATGTTGCAGCAGAGATGCTTGGTGCTTGGGAAGACTGGGTTTGGGATCCTACTTGGCAACGGTGGTATCTGCAGGTGGACGAATTTGATACTAGCGAGAAGAGCCAGATCTTTGCAAGTCCATGGCGCATACGCGACGACGGCGAATGGGTCTATGTTGGCGAAACAGAGGTTGTAATCTAGCGGGATTCGCCTCTTTGATACCGGTGCGATACCATGGACGACATTACCTGCACTAGAAATAGTTTGTTGAACACCGAGACACATGAGCATTGTGCGTGAACCACGCATGCGAGACTAAGAGGTTAGCTCGGCGAACAACAACAAAGCCCAGAGCTTCTATCTTCACAAAGTGAGCTTGCTGCTATATCCAACAATTTCTCCAGCAGTTCACTGTTTTCTGACGTCGTTCACACGTGTTTTAAGAACGTAGACAGAGCGATGAATAGTCAAACAAGCACACGCGTGGTCAAACATACCGGGACACGCGAACAACTTCGGCCTGTGGCTGCAGAAGACTATTTTTCTTACCGGCCATCGCTCACAAGCAACCGTGGATGTTATCCACCACCATTGCTTCTCAGCAACAAAGAGCCTTGCGGACCACTTGCTGCGGGCCCTAGAGAATGGAAATACACGAAGCTGTCAACACGTTCTCCGGCTTTGGAGTCGTGTCGCGATGATCATGGTGTTAGGTTCAAGCTGCGTGTTACTGTTCGAGATGTGCTGCTGGGTTGTAAATGGCATACGTTGTTAGACGAAGACGCACCACCGTACAGGGCCAAGGATCATTGTCTAAGATATCTAGAGGTAACTTACAAGTCTTCCAAAGAATGCATGGCGAAATGTGGACGGCGTTTACGCGACTTCTGGACTTGGCTTTGGCAACAGCTAGTCTTCATGCCACCGGAGTTGGAAGAATTGAATAACGATGCGCTGTATATTTACTGGGAAGATATCGAGCCGGGGATAATGTTCGACACAGAAGATGTTCAGCACCTGTTGGGCCATACAATCTAGCATGTGAGCGGACAGAAGCAACCACTGAAATATGCGTTAACAATCAGGAAGTGGTAGAAGTGCAGACCGTAGCCTCAAATCTGCGATAAACCGACCTGCTTAATGGGTATTATTTTCGTACTTTGCCTGCTTCGCCTGCTGTGACGCTGCTCTTCGCCGTACTTCCCTCGTACGATTCCGTCGATCGAAACATCGAAATGGCCGATTTCTAGAATCCTGGAAAGCCAGAATCTTCCGACCACGATCTAGCACCAACGATCTGGGACGCCTAAGTCCTCAGTGGGGCATGCGTTAAAGGACCGGCTCGCTAGCGGCAATGTACTTCGTAGTGGGTATACCACGATCAGTGGCGATGTGACATCGTTATACTACCACACAGTAAGTTATACGAATCCTCTCTTTCTAGAGGGAAACAGATATCCGGTAATCCTAGGCTGATAGCAGCCATGTATAGTGCGACGAGAGGCGCCTGAGGTCAGTTGCACTCGTCGATGCTTTTATTTCCGGCGCCCCTCGGCTCCTGATAAACCGCGGTCTAGCCTGCAGGATTGGAGGCCTGGAAACACGATGGCACGGACTCTCTAGTGGAGCTTCCTAACCATACCATCTGGAGCATAGCAAGCCACAACATCACTGTACACTAAGGATTTGTGGAGATGACCTGATTGAGAGCGAGAGTCTGTACGAAGTGGTATGTTAGACGCTGTGCTAGCTGCAAAGCCATTATAAAGGTTATCCCCGAAGCATAGATTCGCAAAACACCTCTCTACTTCTCACTCCCAATTCTTCCTTCATCCGCGACTACCACCCATCATGAAGACTGCGCCCCTCCTCCTCGCATCTATACTGGCTGTAGCTAGTCCACTGAACCAGAGAGCGGCTCCGAGACCAGAGGGCAGCATTGATGTGCTCTTCAGAGAGGTCGGCAAAATTTACTTTGGCACGGCTAAGGTGCGTCCCTGAGTGAGGAGACACACTACGTCGCGAGACAGGTTGACGATTCGGAGCTTCGGCGTCTCCCAACTGTAGGCTTGTAAAACTGCTATTAGTGTACTATAAATGTAAGGCTGTTGCTCTTTAAGCACGTTAGCGTCCGACATAAATCGCTGCTATGTAGGCTGCGATATTGATTGTTTTGTTACTGTCGTTAATTAACTTGTTAGCGATACCCCCCTGTCTATTATTAACCTTAGGGACCACTAAAGCGCTCGGAGGGTTGTGTAGAAAGCGCGACGTAGGAAGATCGACTTCCCACGCTCGTGAGATCGCTCCGATGTGAGAGCGAGCATGCCGACAGCCCCGTTGTGCGAAGCAGGAGATTTCTCAAAACAAGCCCGAGCTGGTGGGATACGCTAACATCGCTTAGCATGTATGAGCCTGCACTAGCGTTCTTATTGCCTGTTGTAACTTATCGTAAACAATACAGCGCTATGCTAGTCCCGTATGCCTCTTAAAATAGGTGTGGCGCTCGTTGATAGTTTTCTAGAAGCGCTTACAACCGCGCGGTTGTGCACGAGAATGCTCTTTTCCCTGCTTAAGTTTTAGGTTGCGATTAGGTAGGCGAAGACTGTGTGGACATAGCTTCTAGCACGATGCACGCTAGTAGCATTTCGTTATCCGCGTTAGAGCTGCTTGTTAGCGTTAGACTAATGCCTCGCTTAAGATGTTCTGTGCTGTTCTCAGCGCTATTGTCGCTGCGTTGCGTTCCGAGCCCTACGATAGTGTGTCCTTGCACGAAATAGCACGCGATACACAGACATCCTAACATCCTCTTACAGGAAATGACGATCTATAACTCGCGCTTTCTACACTATTAGACCGCGTCTTTAGACAATAACTGCTTCTCGGTTTGCAGCACGGTGGCTGTCGCGCGATTATGCGCTGTCAGCCTTGTCCAGGCAGCCTCACGTCACGGCGCAGGCGGGCTGCGCCTCCTGTCCTGGGTGTTGAAGATGCAGCCTGACCCAACAAGACAGTCAACTTCACCTCTACTTTAGCAAATCGTTACTTAGCATTCGAAACGACCCGGTAGCTACGATCTCCACACCCTACGCGAGCCAGCCGCCGCGCGCCGTCGATTCCGTCAGCTTGCATCTAAGCTCCGAGACTTCCTTCTACCGCTCGCGCGTACGGACAGATACACAGCCTGATGCGGCTGCTATACACTACTGGCGAGGGGAGGCTCGAATGGACCGATGACTTGATCGGGGACAAGATCTCCCCGTATGCGATCCTGTCGCACACCTGGGGCGGGCAGGAGGCAACCTTTAAGGATCTTCGGCACTATAGCAATATAGAGGAAGTTGATGCGAAAGTCAAGGAGGGCTATCAAAAGATCTTCTTTTGCGCTCAGCAGGCTAAGCGCGATGGTCTGGAATATTTTTGGGTAGACACCTGCTGCATCGACAAGACAAACAGCCAAGAACTCCAGGAAGCGATCAACTCTATGTTCGGCTGGTATCAAAACGCAAAGAGGTGTTATGTATACCTCTCAGACGTTGAGTATAAATCTTCCGATGCAGACAGTGAATCGTGCCGGAGGTGGAAACCGGCCTTCAGGAAGAGCAGATGGTTCACCAGAGGCTGGACACTCCAGGAACTTCTTGCTCCTGCATCGGTCGCATTCTACTCGAAAGAAGGAGAGCGATTGGGGGACAAGCAGACCCTCAAGGACACTGTACACGAGATTACAGGGATACCTGTTGAAGCACTGGAAGAAAGACCAATATCCGAGTTTGGTGTAGCTGAACGATTTTCCTGGGCGGCAAATCGCCAGACAACACGCGAAGAAGACGAAGCGTATTGTCTGCTAGGTATATTCGGCATCAACTTACCGCTCATATACGGAGAGCAACGGCTCAGGGCGATGAAGCGGCTGCTGAATGAAATTGAACAACCTGCACTGTAAGCTCTGGGACAGTTGTGCTAACGCAACATCGCTTACATACCTTAGTAAATCTCTTGGAGCCATCAAGAAAGACACTGAGGCCGTCAGAAACTACATGCCCGCTGTTACATCTAAGTTAGACATGATTCGGCATAACCAAGGCTCGGCAAAGCACCACACGCTTCTAGATTGGATATCAGCTTCCGACTTTCCCTCGCAGCAATCGGACATCATACAGCGCAGGCAGGAAGGGACCGCCCAGTGGTTTCTGGATGCACCTGAGTTAGCGCATTGGCTCAGGGAGACCAAGGCCACACTCTTCTGTCCAGGAATCCCAGGAGCTGGCAAGACCATGATCGCAGCTACTGCGATTAATCATGTGCTAAACACAATGCAGAAAGGCTTACATAGGGTTGCTTATGTGTACTGCAACTACAAAGCTCGGGAGGAGCAGGGTGTTTCGAACCTACTGGCAGCTATTCTGAAGCAGCTAGTCCGGGGTCGATTGTCAACAGTGGTTCACGTAGAGCAACTACATCAGAAGCATGCGAACCGAGGGACCAAGCCATCGCTCGACGAGATTTGCAGCGTATTGCGAGACGTCCTGGCACATTATCCTACCGTATACTTGGTGATCGATGCACTGGATGAATGTCAGGAAGATACTCGTCGCCTGGTCCTGGCCAAACTCCGAGATCTCCAGACAGCCCGGGACGTCCGCCTGATGGCCACCTCCCGTTTCATACCAGACATTGAAGATGCCTTCAGGGAAGCGCCGAGACTGGAGGTGCGAGCTAGCAGAGAGGATATCAAACGTTTCGTGGATGGCTAGACGGACCGATTACCCTCATGCATACGGCGCAACACGAAGCTGCAGAAAAAGGTGCAAGAACAAATAACAAACGCGGTAGATGGCATGTAAGCTTTCCGTCGAACTGAAGTGGTGATACGCGCTCACGGGATTTTAGGTTTCTTCTTGCTCGTCTGCACATAGACTCGCTGCTGGACAAGATGACCCCAAGAGACGTAAAAGCAGCTCTCGCCAGACTTACAGGGGGCGCAGCTGCACTTGACACCGCGTACAGAGAAGCTCTTGAAAGGATCCAAAGTCAGCTGGATGGACACCGCGAATTGGCTAGGAAGGCTCTGTCTTGGATCTCACTTGCCAAACGGCCGCTCACTACCGCAGAGATCTGCTGCGCCCTGGCAGTAGAGCCCGACGAAGATGAGGTGGACCTAGAGAACGTGCTGACTTCGGACGACCTAGTGTCTGTATGTGCTGGTCTTGTCGTTGTCGATCAAGAGAGCGCCGTCATCCGTCTCGTGCACTACACTACACAGGAGTACCTTGAGCGCACTGGAGATGCTTAGAACCCTGGCGGCAAGCTGCATATCGCTGCTACGTGCCTTACGTACCTTTCTTTTAGGAGTTTTCAAAGTGGCTGCTGCTCTAGTGACGAGGAGTTTGAGGCAAGACTACAGCAAAACTGTTTCCTGGAGTATGCGGCCAAGCATTGGGGAAGTCACGTGAGAAAAGTCGAAACAGAGGTTGCTGATTATGCTTGTGAACTTCTTCGGAGAAAGTCTTACCTATGTATCGCACAAGTCCTGTGGGTCCCTGGCTACAAGTACAGAGGGTATAGTAGCCGTTATCTGGTTAGGACGGCCTTGCATTACACATCACAGTTTGGGCTTACTGGCGTAACTGAGAAGCTGCTGGCTACTGCAAATGTGCCTATTGTGGACGCGGTAAACGCTCGAGATAGTAGAGGCAACACTCCCTTAGTTATCGCGGCAGAGAACGGCCAGCATGTGATGGCGAGGAAGCTGCTCGACAATGGCGCTGAGGTCAACGCGCAGGGTGGAGACTACGGCAACGCACTGCAGGCAGCTTCAGCTGGAGGCCACGAGCAGGTAGTCAAGATGCTGCTCGACGCGGACGCTGAGGTCAACGCGCAGGGTGGACACTACGGCAACGCACTGCAGGCAGCTTCATATAGAGGCCACGAGCAGATAGTCAAGATGCTGCTCGATGCGGGCGCCGATGTTAACGCGCAGGGTGGATTCTACGGCAACGCACTGCAGGCAGCTTCAGCTGGAGGCCACGAGCAGATAGTCAAGACGCTGCTTAACGCGGGCGCCGAGGTCAACGCGCAGGGTGGATACTTCGGCAACGCACTGCAGGCAGCTTCAGCTGGAGGCCACGAGCAGGTAGTCAAGATGCTGCTCGATGCGGGCGCCGATGTTAACGCGCAGGGTGGATTCTACGGCAACGCACTGCAGGCAGCTTCATATAGAGGCCACGAGCAGATAGTCAAGACGCTGCTCAACGCGGGCGCCGATATTAACGCGCAGGGTGGAGACTACAGCAACGCACTGCAGGCAGCTTCAGAAGGAGGCCACGAGCAGATAGTCAAGACGCTGCTCAACGCGGGCGCCGAGGTCAACGCGCAGGGTGGATACTTCGGCAACGCACTGCAGGCAGCTTCAGCTGGAGGCCACGAGCAGATAGTCAAGACGCTGCTTGACGCGGGCGCCGAGGTCAACGCGCAGGGTGGATACTTCGGCAACGCACTGCAGGCAGCTTCAGCTGGAGGCCACGAGCAGATAGTCAAGATGCTGCTCGATGCGGGCGCCGATGTTAACGCGCAGGGTGGATTCTACGGCAACGCACTGCAGGCAGCTTCAGAAGGAGGCCACGAGCAGATAGTCAAGACGCTGCTCGATGCAGGTGCGCATCAACACCTAGAGGATAATCTTGCGTTAAGGCCCGAATAGCTTTGTTTATGTATTTTGACGAATGTCTTAAGATAACAGTAGCAGTTAGGGACAGTATGCAATAAGCGTGTTAAGTTGACCTAGAAAGGAACATAGCGCGTAGGAGAACAGGACTTTAGACATGTGTCTTAAGTTGAGTTAATGCTTCTTAAAAGGCAGCAGCGCGCGCCACATCTATTTTGAGATGCTACGGAGTAGGTATAGCGCTGTATTCTTTACCATAAGTTACAGCACGTAACAAGTACACTAATGCAGGCTCATGCATGCCAAGTGACGTTAGCGTATCTCACTAGCTTAGGCTCGTTTTAAGAGATTTCCTGCTTCGCACTACGGGCCTCCCGGCATGCTTACTCCTACGCTGAAATAAGATCACGAGTTAGAGGACCTGGTCTTCCTTCTTCGTGCTTTCTTTACAACCCTCCGAGTGGTTGGTTACTCCACATGATCGTCAATGGACAGGGGGGTGTCGTTGAAAAGCCAGTTGACGACGTTAACGTAACGATCAACTGCCTAGCTAACACCACAGCAATCTGTATCGGAGGTGAGTCAACTTAAGCAATAATGGCTGGAGAATGATTGGGTGTCCTTTACATTTCGACAGTATTGAGAAGGAGCATCTCCGGACGTCCGTAGTGTGAACCTGTCTCGCGACACAGTGTGTCTCTGCACTTGGGGACGCACCTTACTGAGTTTGCTCGACTATCTGAAGGAGAGAATCAAGGCATCATCAGCGCCGATTTTGGCCAAGTAACAGCAGAATACACAATGAAATGGGCCGAGACTCAACCAGAACGCAACGTTATGACTCTGGAAAAGGCGGACAATCTTGTCAAATGGGCTGTAGCGAACCAGAAGAGTATCCGCGGCCACACACTGCTGTGGTAGGACTCGATTCCAGACTATGTGAGGGCCATAAAAGATAAACAAGGGATGAGGGACGCGATCACAGACCATGTGACGAGGTTGGTAGGGCGTGATGGCTGGAAGGGCAAGATCCGCGCATGGGATGTGGTCAACGAGGCGATTGAAAGAGACCATATGCGCAGCAATCCGTTCTACGATGTCTTGTAAGTGCACTCGAATAAGCGACAAAGGCATACTAAGTTTGAAAAAGGGGAGATGAGTACATCAAAGTCGCCTTCGAAGCTGCTCGCGCAGCCGATCCGGACGCTAAATTGTACATTAACGATTATAATCTAGAGGATGCGACGTACGCAGAACACAAGTTCATGGTCGCTAAAGTGAATGAGTGGAATGGCAAATGGCAGGCTGGTGGAAGACCTTTGATTGATGGAATTGGATCCCAGACACACCTTGACGCAGGTATGTTCATCCCATTTAACCATTAGAGTCTCAAAAGCATACTAATAGTGATGGATAGGTCATGCTTCTGCTGTGGAAGGCGCGCTGAGATCCTTAGCCGCGGCTAATGTTGCTGAAGTCGCAATCACCGAGCTGGATATTCAAGGAGCTAACCCGCAAGAATACCGGGATGTCTTTAAATACTGTTATTGGGTACCTCACTGTGTCGGCGTAACTACATGGGGTGTCCGTGACAACGAGGCCTTGGGCAAGAACACCCCCGATGAGACACCTCTTCTTTTCGATTCGAATTGGGCCGCAAAGGATGCCTATTTCGCAATCCGAGACTACCTCGCAGATCTACCTAAGGTAGACCGTACCTGAAAGCAAGGGGTAGATAACTTGTACACGATGGTAACGAATGACGAGCTTCCAATCTACACACTTAGTTAGCTGCAATGAGAACAGGCTGACCAGCCACCTGTATAACAGCCCTATTAGCATAACCTTGGTTTGCCTCGTAACCATAATGTCTCGTCATCTCTATCAGTCTGGTAGTCTTGTATAGCTCTGATCTCCTTCTGATTGCATCGTTGCTTATTAAAGCTCTATATAGTTTGACAAGTCAAGGATCTGCGGATGCGATGTGCCGAGGTGCATGCGAAGCCCTGTTAACAATATGAAGCTGTGCCATCACTTGACAGGAAGCGCAACCAGACGATGAGAGAACTTGGAGCTGTTATCGAGGACGAAGATAATTGGAATGTGGGTAGGTCGGAGCACTGGAAGCTCGTCGCGCAAGAAAGCGAGGTGCTTGCTAACTCAGGACCATGACGTAAGCTCCCTGCTAGTCTCTCCTAGTGTTTCATGGGCGCGTGTTCCACCTTCATTCCATTTCACAACCCTCGATTTGTGGGTGCGCCGCTTGTGACCACAGTCGCTGTTGAGGGCGAGTACCCGTCATGGACATTGCTGGCTGTCCAGGCGATCGTCGACCTTCAGTCTACCCCCTGCTTCCAGCCACCTACCGAAGATGTTAGATTAGGCGATCTATCCGTCGAGACTACTCCGCAATCCCACCCAACACTGTTGAAGCTTTGCTCGGCAGACGCAGTTTATAGGGCATCTTGATTGTGATAACTGCCGGTATGATCTGGGTATTCCACCTAGCATACCGAGAGGCGGGCACTCAGACTACTGGCTAATACCAGAAATTCACCCACGATATTGGGTATCTGCCCTTGCGTCAGCTGCACCCCACAATGCGCTCTCGCAGATATGAGCACTGCGGAGACTTGCTCACCTGCTGGTGTAATGCCGACTGATAACAGCATATTGTTGCGCCGGTCTCAGTCTCATTCTCTTGTGATCACACAGCGCCATGTTCGCTTTTCTTGCAATCGTACTGTTCGCACCAACCCACTTGCATGCTCTCCTGCATCATCTCGCAGTTGGTACCACGAACGGACAGGCTTTGTACTCGCTGGAGTTGGACGATGAGTCCAGGGTGGTATACGCTATCCAGGCGAGAGACGCGAGTGGACCGTCGCCGTCTCTGGCTCTCGACGTCCGTACTTTGGTCTCCGATACGAACCGAATCCGTTGACATATAAGCAAGCGTTCAAAGCAGCACCTCTTCAGCAGCCGTCCGCAAGATGGAACCCTGACCCGTCATTCCATTGCCCCAACATATGAGCTCATTAGCGAAGGAACTATGGAAATACCATCATCTTGTCAGTTTCTTCTGCAGCATCTACGTGGATCCATCTAATAATGTTCAGGTAACACTACTAGCTTTGAATCCCTCAAGCTGAGCTCTTCGACTCAGAATACGGCGATATGGGGCACTGCTAGTACTGGTACCTGCAGCATTGTATTTGGTCTGACGCCAGACGGTTACGAAACCCTACGCTCACAAGAAATCGCCGGTGATGTGCACTCTATCGCTTGGAGTCCTAGCGGTCGTAATCTGCACGCGCTCGACTCACACAGTTCCCAGCAGCTTTCGACATCCATTTCTAACTTTCGCATATCCGAGGACCCAACTTTGCAGGACGTGGTTGGTATTGACGTCCTTGGTAACATCACGAATGCTTCGCAGATTGTCGCACACCCCACAGAGACTTTGATGTATCTCGTTACCAAGGACACGAATGAGCTAGTTGTCTTATCGTTGGCAGGCGACACTCTCGTGAACAATTCTACTACTGTTCTGCGATACAGATTGCTACCATCTTCTCTGGATTCGACAGAGTTTCATACTACGTCACTGGCCATTTCCGCCTCTAAAAACACTCTGTGGACGCTTTCACAGTCATCTCGTCAAGCAGTCATCACATGTTTTACCCTCAATATCACAACAGGCGAAGTAACAAATGTTGCTGCACGAGCTAGCTGGCAGGGAGTTGGCGAAGGTCAACTTACAGCAGCACCATTCGCTGGTGGGGATGTGGTCGCTATCGCAAACTCTCCAACTGGGTATATCACGGTACTTGGTCTCGACCGATCCGTGTTCGATACCGCCGATGTCGTCCAGGATCCTGCTACCCACAACTACTTACGTCAAATGATTGTTGAGAACAAAGGAAACAAAAGCCTGCACATGGCTGCATCAAAAATCAAAAGCTACGGCCGTGCTCTCATTGATGATTACATCAGCTTAGGTGAGAGTATCTGGATCGACTAAGACCTTCTGTATTCTTTCAGCAACGGCTCACCAGTGCATTATTCCAGGTAGTATCTTGTTCTGCGACGATGGTTCTTTGATAGTTCCAACTGCGCAGAGCCATCATTGTCCTTTCTTTCCATATTCGCATCTCCTGGTTGAACACATCCTTTGTCTGTCATCCAGGTCATATCAAGCTGTTGGAGACCAGTGTTGCGATAATTTAAACACTTTGCTTTCCTACCCGATGATGCTCGCAAATATTCACAGTTTTCACCCAGCTCCCACTCCTTCATGTACTCAGGCGCAGACTTTACACGCTTTAAATGTGTGTGGCATTGTTCCCCGGAAGCAACCAATCATAACAGTGACTGGGCAGAGCAACGATGACATTAAGACAAAGTGGAAACTGCACTTCGCCGCACAGAAACTGCGCCAAACACAGTTATGACGGCCACAGCCATGGGAATGTGCGGCCTCATTCAACTCAGATAATGCGGCTGGAGCCTTGCATCACTGTGCGACGTCTGGCTACTTGGGCTGAGGCAAAAAACGAGATGCGGGACCTTGCATCAGCACAGATCAAAATCACTCTGATGACATCTTTGCAGCCCAACAACTGATAAGAGACATCTTCACTATGCGGGCGCATGAACATATTACGCAAGCAAATGACAGGCATTGAAGGCTCCATAGCTGTAGGTCAACGGATGTGCAGTCTTGGGTTTCACGCGCCTACACATGACAGAGACGCGTACATAGCTAATGCTAGCGGAAAAGACAAGCTAAACCAGGTAGAGCGCAGATCAAAACTAGCTACGATGTAGACATATGCAAGCACGCTACCGATGCAGCGGAAACCAATCAGATGTCAGAGAAATGGTATTCCTCCCATGCATGCTAGATCCTTAGGAAATTGTACAAAAGTTTCACTATGCTTTGCTCGTCTACATGTTTAGTATCTCGCACGAAAGCTTCCAACATGTCGACCTCCAGGCACGAAACCAATCGCCGTCCAGTCGGTCACGATGTCGAAATGCGTATCGAGCGTTTCAAGAACTATACGATCATAGCTCTTATCAACTTCACGACTTTTATCGCCTTTGCCGGACCATTCTGGATGTTCATTACAGTTGTTCCGTCTACTATGGTTTTACCGTCTACTCTGCCGTTCACTCTGCCGTTCGCTCTGCCATTTACTCTCTCGTCTTTTATGTCCTTCGCTTTACGTTGGACATGTATTATCACTCTATACTACGAGTTCATCACGAAAAATCAGCTGTTCTTCAAGATTATGGCGATGACAGGGAGGCACTACATGCTAGAGCTTGGGAACAACAAGCGTTCACAGAACCAAGACCTGGGAGCACGCACCACTGGCCTCGAAGATTGGATCCTGGCGAATTTCTGCGTCATCGCTAGTCTATCAACCATCGGGTTTGTGGTACGGTACTGGTATCAAGTCATTGTGCTTACTCTCCAGTCGTTCCTCTACTGGACGTGCACAATAAGTGGTCTCTGTTTGCTTTTCTGGTTGCTGAAGCGAGTTTTAAGCTACTACCGAAAAGTCAAAGGACTTAGACACGAAGACGCATGGGGTGTCCTGATTAGTGTCAATCTTCTACGATTCTATAATCGATTCGAGGGATGTCGCGCTGATGGGGTCCCTGGACTACTTCTTGATGCTGGTCGCGTTCCGTTTGAGATACTCAAGTTCCTAGTTGATTCAATCGGCTTTCAACTTGGTAGTGGGCCTTTGTTTGGTAAGTCTGTAGCGCAATTAATTTCAAGCAGTATCCTGACTCTCGGCAGACCGCTTACCAGATGGTTGGAAGGCCGCAAGAAGATCTTGTAGATCGTGGAAAGAGATCGCAAGTTTTTTCGCAGTTTTCGCAGGACCAGCGGGTGAAGAAGAAGATAGAATGAGAGAGGATACACAAGATCCTGACAATCAAGAAGAACCCTGTTTTTCTCCGTCGGCTTATGAATGGGGGCCAAATCCTGTTATCCATTCCCGTCTATGGTCTGAGTATCTCCGCTCAACAGATTGTGATTCTTTCGTGGTCGAGAGTGCACCATTGGAAAGCCGTCGCGTGGATATAGCTGGAGAAGAAGAAGAAGAAGAAGAAGAATTCAGTCCGCATACGGCTGACAATTTCGACAACAAAGGCGCCACCAAGTTCAATCAGAAGTCTCCTTTCGCATCCAGACACACCGGCCCAACAACGATGTCCCCCAATCTATCTTCGTTTCCATGCTCGAAATGTACCTACGTCGCCAAGAAACAGTTCGAACTTAAGTGTGCAATGATCATCTTCCCCATGTCTATTCTGGCTAACTGTTAGTAGCAGGCATATCAATGGAATGCACAACCACCGGTTCAGATGTGTCCATGACGGCTGCGGAAAGACATCCGGCCTTCGGACGAACCTCGAGCGTCACGAAGCGACACACGAAGAAAGAGAAGGATTTGAATGTCCCAATCCTTGGTGTGAGAAGCCTAGACACCTGTTCGCACGTAAAGATAATCTTAAGAGGCACATGAAACTGTGTGTTGCTTCCGATTGAGGAGATATGGCACATGTCATTCCACTTTTGCGTGATGGACTCTTTCGTGTTATAAATCATATCAGCATCATACAGTTCAGCATAGTATATATACAGCAAAATGAGCACGATCAAGCAGAGGTGATGTATCAACGAGCGATAGAGAGAGAGGAAACAGTGCGCGGACGATAACGTCCTGACTGGTTTCCTAGCGTCAGTGTTGTTCAGGTGGAACGAAAACGCAGTAGTAGTAGCGGTGTATGAATAGATACTAGAATGAAAGAAGAACGCCATCATACCTCACCGCGCTACAGCGAAAATAACTTCATATTAGCCGTCGATTACCCCATTGTTGCAACTAGAATAGGAAGGTCAAAGTATCAGCAGCGGCATGTAAGGCGTTATCAGATCCTGCTAGGCAACAGTGGTTATATCCGAGCTGTGAGAACTCCGATCTGATAAGATTAGATCCGAACTCCGAGCACATACATCATATCAGTATATTAAAGAAGTTTAGAATGATTAGAATCGGGTCTCAATAGCATAAAGAGTTTTACTAGAATGTCGCACTCAGGAGATCTTGAGAAAACAGTTCAGCCTACCATTGTCCATCCAACCAACAACATATCTCGGAACAAGCATGAAGACTACGATGGCGAAAACCCGGAGATAACATCTCCAACTGTCGACCTTGCCAACGACCGTCTAGTACGTCTGAGTAATGAGCACGGGGTATGTCATCTTCCTAGGTCGATGAGATCTTACTAACAGCCTAGGCGACATGGGCTTCCCCAACAGATTCATCCGATCCTTATAACTGGAAGCCTTTACGGAAGTTCGTCATCGGGTCGATATTCTCCTTCGGCCAGTTGATCCCCATCATGTCTGCGAGTATGATTGCGCCGTCACTTCCTACAATTGCTTCAGATCTTGCTATCAGCGCTTCCACCGCCCAAATAACCATGTCGGTATACTTCCTCGGTATGGCCTTTGCGCCGTTCTTGATAGCCAGTGCCAGTGAGGTATGGGGGAGGAAGCCAGTCTGGATGGTTTGTAATGTCTGGTACGTGGTTTGGAACGCGCTGTGTCCAGTGGGCAGAAACACCGGGTTGATGATCGTCGGGAGGTTTATGGCCGGAGCTGGGGCAAGTGTTGGCGTGACGGTAAGTGACAAGGCTGATCAGATCCAACATGAAGATAGCTGATTTAGTACAGTTGAACGGTCCAGTGATGGCCGACATGTATGGCGAAGACGAACGCGGCAAATCTCTGGCCATGGTCAACTTGCTCCCCTTTCTTGGCCCAGCACTTGGACCCATCGTTGGTGGTCTAGTTACCTACTCTATACACTGGTCGTGGGTGTTCTGGATCATGAGCATCTTCAATGCCTTCATCCTGGTTGTCGGTTTCTTCCGGATTCGTGAATCGTATACGCCAGTCTTGCTACGTCGTAAAGCGTTAGCTGATGGTGGTAACGTCCCTACTGCTAAAGCAGAACGCGCTCGTATTGCGCGGAACCTCCTGCGTCCGGTCCGCATACTTGTGCAAAGACCTATCATCTGGCTCAATGCACTGACCGCAACGTTGTCCTTCGCTGTCTACACCCTTGTGCTCTCGACGTATGCGTCGCTGTGGATCGAGAAGTACGGACAATCTGAGCTGACCAGTAGCTTGCACTACATATCGATTGCGATCGGCGCGACACTTTGCGGCCAGCTGGGCGGTCGTATTATGGACTGGTGGTATCGACACCTGACCAAACAGACTGGTGGTAAAGGTGTTCCCGAGTTCCGCATCCCGTACATGATTCCTGGAATGGTCATCATGCCAGCCGGTCTTTTCTGGTATGGTTGGTCCGCCGAACGCACACTCCACTGGATGGTGGTCGACGTTGGCGTCATCATATTCACGCTAGGCAGTTTCATTGTGAGCCAAGCAACAATCGCGCATATGATCGAGGAATTTGGCCAGTTCGCAGCTTCTGCAGGTGCTGGTGTTCGCTCAGTTTCATATGGCCTTGCGTTTGTGTTCCCGATCTTCGCGCCTAATCTATACAAAACGCTGGGATATGGGTGGGGTAACAGTACGTTGGGGTTCGTCGCGATTGGTTTGGGACTACCAGTGTGCGCTGTCTTGTGGTATTGGGGCGCCAGAATCAGAGCTATCGGCAGGCCGATGTGAGCACAAAGATTGACGAGACGTAACCATGTAGAATGATATGACAAGGATGAATGAGTAACGATTCGCAAGATGTGAAAGCTCGCTGCAGTGCTATGCAAGTCCGGACCATAGCTCTCTTATCATACTATCCTATGTTCCGTTCTCACATCTGAGAGACTCTCCTTCAACATGGCTGAATACATCTCGTTCACTAGGAACAACTTCTGAAGACCCCTAACTTACATCGTGAGCTGACATCGAGATAACGCGACAGGGGCGGCGCGTTTCGACTTGCGGTTGCAGAACGTCAAATAGGCTGAGCGAACCAATCGATCCAAAAACAGGCGCCTATAAGGCGCATGTTGAAGAGTTCCTGTCAAACAGGGTGCAGATCCAGTAAGCGTTCTGGTGGTTGTGTCAACTCGCGATCGCAAAGGCCAAGTGCGTGGTTTAAGCCATTTAGCAGTCTTTGCGCACGTCTTTAGCCACAGAGTGCCGTGGAGGAAATCAATTTGATAGGTTGGGGACAAGAAACGGATACCAAGGTGATATAGGGAAGAGGCAATGGACGTAGGAACGAGCGCGGCAAAGCTCGCGGGTGGTGACGTCATTGTTGATACAGCTGAGCCAAGACCCAAAGGGGCCAGCTTGATGTGCAGAGCCGCCGAATGCATCGGAGTTGCCAGTTGTTTGGTAACCCGAACGCGGTCTGCGCCGCAAGCCGTAGAAGGATGTACTCTTCAATGAGCTTTCAATGAAGTGTGTAGCTTACAACCCGCATATTCGTCTCGCTATGAAACGTCTGATATACGAAATCACAACGTTTGCAGTCAAATATAGTAATGCGATACATCGAGTCACAACGACGAGCGTCCTCAAATTCCAGTTTGTCAGCCCATAACCTTGACCATAGCTTCCCTCCACTTCCCACCCCATCTGCCCATCGCATAGAGCGCCGCACATCCTGTGACCACGCTCCAAATGCCTAAGATCGTCATCAACCACCCATTTCCTATGGCGCTCAATATCGGCTCTGCAACTACCGCGCCCGTAAAGGAGAAGATGTTTCTCACAAAATTGTTCAGCGCAATTCCAGAGGCAGCCCGCCGAGGCATGAACTCGGTGAGCATAGTGTTGACCAGCGCGAAAATGAGCATACTACCGATGCCGAAAAAGAAGTTGCTAATCATGGGCACGATCCAATGGACGCCGTTCTCCGCTGTCCAACCATAAATGATCAGGGCCGAAGGCCAAAGGATAGCAGCAATCCACGCATTCTCCTTCATCCGGTCTTCGGGGCGAAAGATAAGCTTGCCTTTGTCGTCGTAACGTCCCGCTTTTCGGGCTTCGCGGTGCATGATACTGTCAATCCATTTACCGCCGAACAGTGAGGCGAGAAGGTAGCCGGCCGAGTTGGGAATGTAAAGTAGGCCGATGATGAGGGTAGAGAATGAGTAGGGTGGAGCGGCGAAAGTGGACTGGATGCTAATGTTGAGGATGTAGAGACTGCCGAATGTTATGCTGGCGTAATAGACGGTTAGGAGGACTGGTGGGAACCGGAGCCATGCTATGATGCGCAAGGGATCGATGAAGATATGGCGGAGGTGAAGAAGTACGCCCTTAGTCTTTTGGACGGTTGAGGCGCGGGTTGCGCTTCTTCCGAGTGTTGTACTTTGCTCCTTCTCGGTTTCGTTACCGGCTGGTGCTGCTGTCGGATCAGCAGATGGCTTCTCTTTTCTGTGCAGGGTTTCCGGGAGTGCGAAGATGATGAAGATGAGTGTCATGCCGCCATAGATGACCAGGAACCATTGTGTTGATCGCCAACCTAGACCTGAGCCTAGAGCACCACCAATGATGGGAGCGAAGAGTGGGCCGCAGAGAGGTCTGGATGCGCATCCATAAAGTCAGTTTGTGTTTCACATGCGATTTGTACATGGTAATTACTGACCCAAGATAGAAGATACCCATTGCTCGTCCACGCTCTTTCGTCTCCCAGACATCGGCAATGGTCCCTGCCCCTACCGCTTGTACAGATGCTGCTGCGCCGCCAGACAGAACACGGAAGACAATAAGCATGGCGATGCTTTTGCTGATGGCAGAGAGGATGGCAAATACTACGAAGAGTATGAACGAACTTATGTATATAGTACGCCTGCCCAGCCGCTCCGAAAAAGAGCTCCACCACAAGGGGAAGATGGACATGCTAAGCATGTACACAGCAACGCTCATGTTGGTCACTGTCTCGGTCGCGTTGAAGGCTGTGCTGATTTCCTGCAGCACTGGCATGACAATTGCGCTGCCCATGGGTGCTGCCATGGCGCAGAATGCGACAATGAAGGTCAGAAACCATTTCGTTTGCCGCGCATAATGCTCTGGGTTTTCGACCTCCGGGATGAGGGCAAAGCGAGCAAGAAGTCCACGCCGCTGCGAGCGTGGAACGACAATAGCATCGGGCAGAATCGAGGCAGTTCTGGATAGGGTTACTGGACGTTGTTTTGAATTCGATGTTCTGGGCAGATCGGCATTGCTAGAATGCCCTGACGCGGTCGAGGCTCGGGACGATGAGATTGACATTGTTTCTTCTGTATCTCTCTGGTTTCCCGTCTCCATGATGTCTTTTTCTGGTAAACTTTCATCCTGCTCATATTTTACGTCTTGGTCGGTGCCTCGGTCGGGTTCATCCTCCTGTTTCAACATCCTTGGTGGCGATCTCGACCTGTCATGATCTGCCATTATCGCCCGTCGCAGAGATTGAGGAAAGAAACCCAGACAACGTAACGTCCGAGTCTTTCGTTCAAGCAAAAGCTCGCTCCGGTTTCCGCATGCACTGTCGCTTTTCCGTATGCGTCGTAATACCTCGGTTGTCGACAGCCGCTATCTCTAGCTCTTCAGCATGCTCTCACCGCGCACCTGTACCCTGTGTTCAACACAGTGTATCCTCAACAAGTGAATTGCAAACGAAGGAAAGCTAAAGCCCGCCATGACTCCAGACACAACCCAGCGAAAACGCCGCTGTCGAGCGATAACTAAGCGCAACGGGTTACCGAACTGGGAGTGTTGCTATGCGGAAACAAACTCGCTCTAATTATATCCGAAGCCATGGTGGGGCTAGAAGGATGCATGCATGCGATCCGGGTAATTGGAGCTTGATTGTACGGGATGTCACGTGGAGACCTGTGGATCGACACATCCGTCGTAAGGCGGGCCGCCGCAATCGAGAACAAAGTTTCCGATATTTGTGTTTGAACGACTGTCAGCCAAATCCAGAAACACTCGAGGTTGACACTGCAGCATCCGATGGCACCTGCACGGCCGTTAACGTCACCGTTAGCGTTGTCGCACGAGCACGTTTGTGGTGGGGTAAAGATGGGTTAGCTCAACAGCTTGGAGGGGCCTCGGCGTCCCGATTACCAGCTTCCAACTCATCGTCGTTCGAAAGCGGCCACACGACACCGTCAGGCCATTGACATTGAGCACGCACCCCTCCAACTCTCCAAGCACCGCATCGCCGATCAGCCATACCATGGCAACCCAAAACCAAGACCGCCTCCGCTCACACTTCTCCTCAGCTCCCGATGCAGAGCACAACAACCGCTGGGACGATCTCTGGAGAGAGTCTACGTTCCTGCCTTGGGACCGTGGTCACGCAAATCCTGCGCTAATTGATCTGCTCCGGGAACGTGGTCGCCCGCTCTCCTCACCGGACCCCAATCCCTCCCTCGGTGCACCGCCACCAAACAGCGAATCGGCGGGCTACGCTTCTCTCGCTGGGCCATTGAGGGATGACGGGAAAAGGAGGAGGGTGCTTGTGCCAGGGTGTGGGAAAGGATATGACGTAGCACTATTTGCGGCATATGGCTATGACGCTTATGGGCTGGAAGTGTCCTCGCATGCTGCTGACGCTGCGAGAAAGTACCTAGAGGAACCCGGAAAGGGGCCGTTGGAAGGAGAGTATGCAGTCATGGACGAGAAGATCGGAAGGGGCGCGATGAGAGTTGTGTGTGGGGATTATTTCAAAGACGGCTGGTTAGGAGATGTGGAAGGCTGGGAAAGCGATGAGGGGTTTGACATCATCTACGATAACACAGTAAGTGAAGCATTACATGTAGCGTGTGGGATGTGTCTGGCGGCGTGTACTGACGCGATGGACAGTTTCTTTGCGCACTCCCTCCCTCTCTGAGACCAAAATGGGCATCTCGTACCACCACACTCCTCCGCCGCCCCTCACCAAACACCACTTCTACTGGCGGTGTGCTCATCTGTCTTGAATTCCCCACACACAAGCCCGCATCTTCTGGCGGACCTCCGTGGTCGCTTCCTCCACTTGTACACAGTGAGCTGCTCAAACGACCGGGTCAGGATATCTCGTATGATGACCAAGGGGTCGTAACCAAAACAGATCGAGAGGAGACAGAGAACGCGCTGGTCAAGATTGCGCACTACACTCCCAAGCGGACCCACGAGATTGGCGTCATCAAGGGCCTCGTAAGAGACTGCGTGAGTATGTGGCGGCACAAGGCGGATTGTCCGGATGATCAGAAATGGCACTGAGTACAGTTGGCTACGAGGACGTTGTATAGCTCCGGTAGACAGCTTACAAGGCACCCATGTTCGCATCGCTGATCCCACGTTCAGCCTGCCTTGCGTAGTGAGTTGTAATGCTCGCCCAACCCATGACTGTGCTTGTAGTATCCCAGCCATATCTCCTCCTTTTCTTTGACCTCATCTTCAGCCTCTATCCTGTCCACCTGGCCGTCGCTGTGCAGTACGCGTATCCTCAGACCATATGTCCTGGCCAGCGCAAGCAGCTCCAGATGTCCACCCCATTCACCCGTCTCTCTAATCTTGCGGACGTGCTCGGGCAACGGGTCTTCCATGAAGCCTGTAAAGTCGTCGGCGTGGCTTTGGATCCAGTCTGCCGCTGCGTGTCTGACGGTCTTGTATCCTTGTGGCTTTTTGTCTGACTCCTCGTCGCCCTGTCCAGTGATGGTGACACCTATTCTCGGCTTTAGGCCCAGTTCTCGCGTCTGCAACTGATCCGCGACCGCCGCATACAAACAATGACCGTCGGCTCGTATCTCATGCAGCACCAGCCCATGTTTGTTGAGTTGTACCGCCATGCGTTCTCGTTCTAGTTCACGTGGGTTCGGTGCGTTGGCGGCCTCGCGCTCTGCTTCGGCGATCATGGAGGCCTGTTCGGCGGCGCGGCGGGCGAGGCGGGCTTTTGCGCGATTTGGCTTCTTCTTCTTGGGTTCAGCAGAATCGCCATTCGTACTGCTCTCTTTGCTGTCTGAAGCAGAGGCAGCTAAATTGAGGTTTGCAACGTCGTCTTGTATATCCTGCGCCTCGTCTCCAGAGCTCTGTGCGTCTTCTACATGCTCCTCAGCATCTACAGCCTCGCCGTTCTGAACAGCGACTTCATGCGCCTGACGCTCCTTCAATTCGCGCTCGAGCCGTTCGCACTCATCGTTGACACCCTTGCGTGTCTTTTTGCTTGCTTGCTTCTTCTTCTGTGTGATACGGGATACGAGGTCGCGTTGCTCTTTACGGTGTCGAGATTGTAGCGCTTCGAGGGTTTCTGGTTCGGGTGCAGGCGGCGCGTCGCTCATGGTGATGATGCAGAGTGTCGTAGTACAGAAGGAAGGCTGAAGACTAAACTAATCGATGCGAGGTAAAGACCGTGGGTTATTTGCTGTGAGATCGGCACGAGGGTGGTGGGGTGGTGGGGAGCGCGACATTCTTTGGCGTCCTCGGTGAATGGTTTTGCCGACGTGAACTGTCATGCTTCACGTCCTTCTTCGCGCCAACCCCTCGCCTCTCACACCCTGGCAGAGTTGGCCATGTCTTAGTGTCCAATACACAACTGGAATATCTACTAATACTGCTCTGAGTTACACAATGTGCAGTGGCAAACCCATGTATCCTCCAACTCAATTTTGTCACGTATCCTGCCATCAGTCCAGGCTTTAAGAGATGGGTTCAAGTAGGCATCCTTCTGGCATATCATCGTCTCCCTCTTTATTCCCATCGCAAGAGTGTATGGACGCAGCTTGTTCCCGGCTTCTTGAATGAACCGGGCTCGGCGACGTTTAGTCTTTCTGCTGCTCCGCCCTTCCGATATATAGCAGTAAGTCATCAGCGACTTACCATGTCAAGTCAAGATGGCATTGATACTGTCGCGCCATGCGAGCTGGATCATGGGTCAGACTGCTTGAAATGATCATGGTCAGGTGTGGTAAGACTTCCGTGTCTGCTCTTGTCATCAGTCTGAATCAACTTGGTATGCTAAACTCAACAATTTTCGAAAGCCATCGAGTTGCTGCCAAAGCCTTCAACAAGATAGTCTGAACATTGGTGTATAAGCTCCGCTATAGAAATCATAGTAGAATGAAAGTGAGAGCTCAATGTCCCGCTCTTTCACCGCACCTTCCTCGTGGCCCCGCACGTACTGAGCGCACAGAACTTATTCCCTGCCACAACATCACCACCACAACCACCATTACCCGTATCGACAACAGACATCTCTAGATATGCCTTTCCGCGACCAGGAATGGGAGGAACTGCAGCGCGACTGCGACATCTTCCCCGCCTATTCAGATTTCCTTTATGGACCGGACCCACGCATTATAACAACACAAGAGCCTGGTCTACACCCTATGATATATCCCATAGATGCCTCTGCACCTATTCGGTACACTAACAGTATGCCATCGCGAGCTTGGTCGCACAAGACCACGGAAGACCTCGAGAAGTCGAAGAATGCTACCGCGCAAACGCTCTTGGCTGGACAGAACGAGCCTGGCAGCGACATGATCGGAGCAAACAATGGTAGAAATACACCCGGCTCCTATGTACACTCCCAAACTGGTAGTCTCCTAAACCCGCTGCTACCACCACAGAGCGTTTGCACTATCTCTGAGGAGGACATGGCGCGACGAAAGACGTTGAATGCATCACGGCGCCGTCGCCGGTCTCAAACAGTGGTCCCTTTTAGTCCTTCGCAGCAGCAACAGCCTGTAGGAATGACTGGGCACCAGATGTACACTAGGAATACTCCAGTCATACACAGTGCGGACGTTGAGCCACAACAGCCATCTTTCCTGCGCTCATCTTCTACTACCGATATCGACGAGACTCTAGCGCAGATGGGCTCGCGTCAAAAGTCTGATGCTTTTTCGCCTTTCGCGTTACAGACATCGATGCTGCCCCCACCCGCAAATCTATCTCAACGGTAGCCACAGCATGCCACTGGCCTGTCCAACAACTTGCCTCCAATCCCTGCTCCAAACAATTCTCCAGAATCCAGCCAGCAGATATCTCTCCTCCAACCGAATGATATATTGCGCAACTCTCGCTACGACTGCATCAATCCCGCTAAGCGCTTGGAGATTGCAAAGGTCCTTGTTGACCGTTGGGTCGTCGTGCGAAACTCTGCTGCAGATGACGCTCTAGGGGTAAAGGCCATGTCGGACATTCGAAACATCACCAGAATGGTCAACAATTCAGTCATCAATATACAAGCTGCGATGGATCTGCAACAACAGAGGATACAGCAGCTCCATATGCAGGCGGTTCCAGAGAGAGCGCAGACGGACCATATACAGCATATTCAACAACTCCAACCTACTACTCAAACTCCGCAGGGATATGCCCAACCTCAGCCCCAACAGGGCATCTGGTCCGCTCAACTCACCCAGTCATCTCCAACCCAACCATTCCAGCAGCCAGCTTCGCAAGAATCATACTGCAGTATTCCTCAAGCTTCTCAACAAATGCAGGTGCCTCAACAATCAACACTCCAAGGCTATCAAACACATCAACAGCCACAGCAGCAAAACCAGGACCAGTACGAGCAATCTACAAGCCAAAACACCACTCTAAGCCCTGCACAAGTCCGCGCAAACATCAGTCGCCACACTCCAGAAATGTGGCAGAATTTTCTGATTACCCAAAACACCTCATTGCCTCTGCAGGACAGGATGAACGCGCGTCAGTGGATGGTAAGTTTCAAGAACAATCTACCAGTTGAAGCTCATACGTACGTGGTGCAAGTTTTGCAAAGGGCGATGCGGGAGCACAGTCAGGGAAGGGATGCTTTAGCATTCCTTGAGACGGTGAATATGGAAAGCAATTTGTCTGACGGTGGTGAGTCGAAGCAGACCGGTACGCAGGATGGCCTGTAGTAGATCATCAATCGTCTTAGATGTGCAGAAAGGGGGATATTGATATGGGTTCTTGAACCAAAGATCTTGTAGTTGGCAAATGCATAACATGAAATGCCAACATTACAACGAATATGCTCCTTGACTATCATGATAGGAATTCTCGCTCGCTACCTGTGGAATACTTCAAGGTAGTGAAAAAGACGCTTCATCTCATGACTGAGAAGTTGGAGAATAGCCTCGTTCTCCTATCTGCCGTCCACGTTCATCCACGGGATAGCAACACATAGTGGCGACGATGATCATAGTCTGACATACAAACTCGGCTGTGTTAGATTCTGCAGTCCTCCCGACGCGATATGAGCATAGGCAACTTAGTTGGAGGCTGCATATATGGACCTGGATGGAGGATTGGATCAAATGTTGACGTTGGAATGGCTTACGAGACGTGTTCTGTCAGACGCAGGCTGTGCATGCCGCTTTTTTCAAAGAAAACCAGTTTGGTGGGATGTAGGTGTCAGAAGGAATGTCTCGCTGTTCAATCAGAAGTGAGCCAACACGACGTGTGAGTGAATACGTCGTTCGTCGCTCGGACGATAATCAAATTACGTATCTTCAGCGGCCCCAGATTACGTCCTGCCTATTGCGGCTAGCATGCTGATCCTCCGCCCTTCACCTTCCTTAATGTGCATCTCTCCACATCAACCTCCCAACCATCGTAAACCCCCAAGAAAGCTTTTGTTTTGCGCAAAAGCTTGTAGTAACATTACAATGAGTGTCACAATGTCTTCGAACCCTTCCACCGTGACCCATGCGAGGTCTGCGCGCGGCTTTAGCGACCTTCCGCAAGGTACCGTAACCAACCTCGGCATAACTCGTTCTCAGCTCACAGATGCGCAGAGGTGCGCAACAGGATATACATGCTCGCTGCAAATGACAAGCAGCGCCTTATTGAGCAGCATGTCAGCCGGCGCAGTATCACGACAACAAGTGAAGCTTTTTGGGCGGCCCGCGGTTACTACAGCTTGACCCAGGTGTCTCGACAGACACGGCGGGAGTTTCGCGAACTGTATCTCAGGGATCGTGCTATATCGGTGCATATTCGTGATGCGCAAGACTACCTGGAGACCATCTACCCCTCGTCTGGCAAACATGCTGTCGATCGCAACACTATCATGGCCTGGCTCACGATTCGTACTGATGTCGAACGCCGTGGTAAATACGATACACCTATCGAAATCAGACCTCTGTTACTAAGTCTGTTCCATACGCCTGGTCTCGACTACGAGTTTACAGGAAAGGGTGGTGCAGTCTTCAACGAATTGTTCGTCGGTTACGAAGGAGAGTGGAAGGCCGCAGTCGACAACGTGTTCAAGAGCGTAGAGCTGAAAGAGCCGAGTGTCTTCGGACTGAGGCTAGTACTGAATCCCAAGAGCCAAATGCCTTGGGTCAAGCAATGTCCAATTTCTGTTACGAGGTTGCCGCACGTACCAGAGGATGCTTTGGAGTGGTTCAGTGCACTTGGACTAGATACGGAGAACGACATGATCTTCGTAAGGAGAGGTGCGCCAAAGTGGCTGCGCGGGGACTTTATCAAGAGTTCGAAATAGAGATGGTGAGGCAAGTCCACGGCACCGGGAAACCTGTCTCCTGGCCCCAAAACATAATTGTGTTAGAAATTCGAATATCGATGTTGACTTTTGTAATAGCCTAACATCTGGGCCATGAACGTGATGATGACGAATGGCGGCCAGGTTATGTATGACCATATGGCTGCCGTCATTCCGCGTACGCAACGATGAGGTATGCAACCAAGACTGCATGCAGAAGTGGGTAGGTCAATGCTGGGGTTCTACAATCAACCCAGTGCAAGCATGCCACAGATCTCAGCCGTTGATCCGAGTGACCAAGCATACTGCTCTCTGCCCCGTTTCCCAAGTCTTTGACTACTGACACAGTTCTTGCTCATACATCTCCCTGCTAATCAATACGATGGGGCCCGTGTTTTTGGAGTGCCGAAAACATTAGAGAACAGGCCTAAGCGGCAGTGCTTATTCTTTCGTCATCGAGGACGTCAATGAATTACGGCCTACGTGTACCCTTCCGAGCATGTGCCGCGTACCACGATGATACGAGGACAGCACGTGCCCCGCTCAATATACCTACGGTCTGACCTCAGTAAGTGCTTGTCCTCGTTTCATAATACCTGAATGCGCATCCGACTGATCACCTGTCCACAATGAAAGCTACATCCTCGTAGCGAATCATTTTCAGCTTTGCAGCGAATATGTCGACAGGCACACGGACAGGCAGTGATGCCGTGGGCTCGAATGCATCAGTATGAAAGACCGAACAGGCCTGGCAATTATCGATTAAGAAGGGCCTTTTCCGGACCATCTAGCGCTGCGATACTCACCTTGAGCCTATGTTCAGGCCAAGCGATGCCCGATTATGGACATGGCTCGGACATGGTTCCGAAAAGAAAGCCTGTTACACGTCACTAGAGGTGGAAGCTGCGCTAGGTTCATCTTCATATCACTGCTGCGCGAAGGAACTACTAAACTTTCTTTTCTTATCCTGTTGGCTCGGTTTTCTCTGGAAGCGCGGTGAAATACAAGGACATGAAATTGCGATAGGATTTCGCCAGTGAGGGAGCAGCAATGATCTTAACACACTGGTAAACGCCGAGAAGAAGGTACACGGGCCTTTGTAGTTGTCGCACTATGGTTTCCGGGTGCTGTTAGCAATACCTAGGTATGAAAAGTTGTTGTCACAATTATCGCTGTCGCATGCGCCACGGAAACCGGCAAGCTAGCCGGCCTTAGCCGACACGCGAAAGCCACATGACGCGAGCCACAGTTCCGCCTTTTCCGCACCGCTACTGCTTTCACCAATCGCAATGCGACCTGCGCCATACAAGCCGTGCTAAGCTTGGGAATTGTGGCGCCAGTTTGATGAGATTTCTGCAGTGTGATGGCGCGGCTAGTCCTGCATTGTAAGTTAGAGCAGTTGGCACCATGTGGCTAACGAGTGGCTTACGCATACCGTGGGGAGGGGATTGGGCAGAGTATATATAGCGCAACGCCCCCATGTGTGGCTGTGTGAAACGTACTACAACTATCATCGTCTGTTACCCTTTTAGTCCATCTATATCGCAGTGCAGTGCGGAACTAGCTTCATCAGGCTCTGCAAGACAAACGCCACCATGTCCTTCGAAACCTACATACAACGCGCAGACGATTACATCACAAAGCAGATTCACAAGTTCGAGCAGCAGAAACGTGGTGGAAATAGATCACCACCACGTGCGAAGGGATATCATCAGATGTCTGGATATCAGCATCAAGGTCGGCCGCCTTCCCAAGGTGGCTACCCTGGCAGCCCTGCTCCACAAGGGGGTCCTCCACCACCAGCGCCCCAAGGTTGGGCCCAAGAGTACGATGCGAGGAGTCAACGTTGGTACTACGTTGACAGGGCGACAGGAAGAAGTCAGTGGGAACCTCCCTCTTTTGCACCACCGCGCGCCGCCACCTTTCAGCCTGAGGTCCGCATGCCCAGTCCGTACCAGCAATTCAGCCGGGAGGATGAGCAGAGTCAACGGTGGCGCGAGCGATCCAGTTCTCAGCCTCAACGGCCCGGGTCAGGCGTAAGTGGACATGGACAATTCCTCGATCCCAGGCAGAACGGTGGAAGTGGAGGCGGAAGTGCAAGCCCGGCTGGACTGCATACCCAAATACCACCGGGATCATATCTGGATATGAAGACGGGCAAGATCGTTAGTAGTATGTTCCCAGAAGGTCAGACACATCAAAGTTGGCAACAGGAGATACAAAGAATATGATATCAAGGAGCATCTAAGGAGAGAAATCAGTACGACTCATGATGATAAATGAATGGAGATGATGCGATTGGGAAAGAATAGCTTCGACAAGTCGACATGCTCTGGCGTTACAGGTGTGGGCGTAAACTTCAATTATTAGTGCGAATATGACATGTCTTATCTTTATGAATACTTTGTATCATCAACTCGTTATGAAATATAATCACTTAGTGCTGCGAATGAAGTAATGAAGCAAAGCTGGTCATACGAAAATCCCTCGCCCGTTTTATGGAAGTTCTTCGGCGCTACTTCGCCGCGAGTACGCATTATTTCCTTAGCTACAGCGCCAAAGTCACTGTCGTGAACAAACAGCTTTCTTGCGTCCGTGCAGGAATGTGGGCGCATCATTGTTTTGGTCGTAGTATGGGTTGGCAAGCAAGCTATCTAGACCTTGTCGCTCGTCTTGGTGTAGATGATAACGACTTGCTCCCTACTGCTGGTCTCGAGAATTCATCGCTCGGGCTGGATTGTGGCCATTTTCATTTCAGTAGGGAGCTGACGAAGATGGTACCAAATTCTACACACCGTCAGTATATCTTGTTTGAGAAAAATGGGAACAAGTGATTACTGTTAGATGTAATGGAGAAGAGTAAGGGAAAATAGTTGTGCCTTCCTTATATTGTGGTTGCTAAGGTTTGCGAAGCTCTCGCTAGCAGGACTTGGTGCTGAAGGCGAGGTACTCGAGGACGAAAAGCCACAGTCATCTTCACCTTCACGGTACAGAAAGCTTCGAAGTGCAGGAGAAGCATTCATAAGAGTGGTGGATCTGCTTAATATGTACCGCCTGGCTACCATGTCCACTTGACTGCGAGCCCCACGTGAAATGGGCTGAGAAGTCGGTCCCTTCTAGGCTGCGACCATGTCGATCGCATCGACACTCATTCCCGGACTCAAGTAGCCAGTAGAAGTTTTTCCAGAGATCACAGAGATCTTCAGCAGCTGATATTCCCTCGCACTGTTCACCCAAGCACTTGCTGGGACGTTGAACTCATAGACGTAGTTATTGCCGCGGTACGTTCCAACAGTCAGACTTCTAGTGTCCCCCTGGCCCTTGTCGGACTGCAAAGGAGCACTCCAACTGTTCATCACAATGGTTGGCCGTCCACCTGCAGAACCTTCTGTGACACCGATCCTGATCTTTGCACCCTTGGCCAATTGCGCATCAGTGAGGCGGAAGTACACGATGTGATCGTTGTTGATATCCTTCCAGATGTAGCCCGGAAAGTTGGCGCTGGTACTGGTACCTATGATGTAATTTCCTGTGTCCCACTTTGCAAGCCGCGAATCAGACGGATGCATATACGTCGGCTTCATGGGGCTGTCACCGAAATTGAGAAATCCCTTGGGTGTGCCATCCCATTCACCAATCCGCCATATGGCGGATGTATCTGAAGGGTCATTGCAGGTGATTGTGTTCAGCGCCACGGTTCCTCCAGCAGTGATGGTGACAGTGCTGGTATGAACTTCGAGCTCCTGGAACGCCGCATTAGTACAATCTCCTTGAGGAAAGGTGTGGCTATCCTTACACCCTTGTATACGTTCAAAGTGTATGAGCCTGGCAAGACCTTGCTGATCTTCCAGGTGCCGGTTCCTGCAGTAGCCCAGTACTGAGCCTGGGCACTCTTCAAGCCTACAACATACTGGTACCCGCTCTTCACATTCGCCAGACCAACACCAGAGACAGCGCCGCGCTTGCTAGCCGGGGTCCAGCCATCAATCTCGAGGGCGTCAAACCAATCCCAATTGGCATTGCGCGCGAATAGAGCAGTGTTTGGTGCAGCACCACCATCAGTGAAGTGAAGGACAGATGGACCTTGGAGGCCGAAGCGCATCACATCGGTATGACCTGTAACATATCAGTAATCTTCCTAACTGAAAGTAGAGAGAAGCGCCGACGTACCCATGTTGTAGTGATAGATATCATATAGATCCGGCCCACCACTACCCCCGCGGCGTACTAAGCTTCGGAAGAATGGGCCTCCTGACGCCTTCTCATGATTCGAACGAACCATATACATGCCAACATTGCTGTTCGTATATCCGACCCAGTCATAGTCCATTGTGCGACCGTATTTCTTGCCAGAGTAATGTTTGGACCACGTCTGGCCATTTAGACCATTGACATCACCAGATTCGATGGCCGGAGCGCCATCTGGAATCCAGTCAGTGTCCTCGTTAACATTGTTGGTGAATATGTTCGGAGGAATGCGAAGAATGTATCTTGACACAGTGATGCTGGTGTCTTTCTTGTTCATAAATATGTATACGTTGGGATTGCCATAGCGAAAGACCAAAGTATGGACGAGAGTGCCAACTTTCATCGTCACCTTGATGATGTTGGCTGGAGTGGTGTATTGCTTGATGGTGACAGTTCCAGGTGCGAGACCAGATTCCACATGCGAGTTTTTACCATTCTGACCATTGTATTCGATGCCGCGATACTTGATCGATGTCATGTCCCCGTTCGTCTTGCTGACCTTGACTACGAGATTTGCATTCGTGTCGATCACATAGTTCTTGCCGTCGTCGGTGTAGCCCCATGCTGCGAAGACAGCAGTCGGCGCAAGAAAAAGAGCAGTGATAGTCGGTAGAAAACGCATTTTGAATGAACGTCTGCGCGCAGATGGTGCTCTGCATTGCGCACGCCGACTTTAAAGTAATACTTTCGGAGGTGCAGATGCCTGCACACCATTTCGATATCAACTTTCCCGGTGGTAATATTGTAACATGCTTCAGTTAACCATTTTGAGCGGGCTCCGCGATCAGAACAGAGCACCTACGCCTTGCGGAGTAGTGCATGGATCTTATTGTGTGAGAGCCGAGCATGGGTATATATTTGCTAGACTGTTGCAGTATTTCTCCGAATTTAGCACGTTCAAAAGCAGTATGCGCATTGTGTCATTGGTGGAGTTGGCTCTGGATGTTTCGAATCAAATCCGGGGAAATTCGAAGGATCACGAAGGAAGCTTGGGATGCCAAGCATAAGCGCACAGCCGACCATGAGCAACATAAGCCGTTGTCGGATAGGGACGACAGGATTAAAACTTTCGCGGACAAAAGTCAAGGAGAATGGCGTATCTTGAGGGTGGGCGGGCAAGTAGCTGGGGTGAGCGAGGGGCGAGCGCACGACTGAGAATGGGACTCGCGCTGCGGGCCGATGCGACTCCGATGGGTCAGGTTGCAGGATGGTGCGCGACTGCCTATGGCAATAGGCACTTGCACAGCGCTCACCAACCTCAATGACCATCTCTCCTCCTCCCTCCATTCATCAGTACTGATCAGAGAACTCTGCATACCTGTATGACTGCCATACGTCAAGCGAACAACAAGATGAGGAATGTTTGGGGGATAGTCCAGTCCACAGTATTGTGAAACTTTCGAGCGCCTGGGCGCGACGCTGGCGATCCTGTTGGCAATCTGCACGAGCGTCGCTGCTCCGAGCACAAACTCAAAAGTGTTATTTGCCTTAATTTGTCAAAGCTAATGTTCACAATTGTAGTGGAACTTGATGTTTCCGACTCATTATATCAACGCCAACACTCTAGGTACCCCGAGAGCCCCTACAGTATTCTACCTAGATGAGCCAACAAACCAGAAACAGTGCATACTATCAGGGTGCATTTTGGTGTTACGTACCGTTCACAAGGAAATACTGAATGGCTCCAGGATCAACCAAATCCAGATCCTATGTGGAGACTACTGACACTGGATGCGTGGCTTTATCCCCATCCCTTCCTTGATGTCTCTTATCGTGAGGTTAATAGGAACCATACACCTAATCCTGGCATCCTTGTAACGTCTAGTTGCGAGTTCGGCCACCTTGGCCTACCCCCATGGGGCTTTTTGTCCGACTTACTCATGGGTCTCGGGTCTCGCAGTATGATGACCCGACGTGTTCGAGTCTACCAATGAACACAGTGCACACCACAGTTTTGAAGCGTTTGGCCATCGGAACGGTGTCGTTAACCTAGTGGAGAGATTCAACCGTGGCATTGGCCATGATTCGTGCCACCTTGGTTCATTGCGAAGTTTGCCCATATCTCACGATAATACATGATGGCTCGCAAATTCGAGTCGATATCCGGCAGGGCTAGAACTTCTAAGTCGGATTGCAAAAGATGATGCGGTTCTCTCAGGCTGTCCGTTCCTTCTGCTCAGGAAGAAACCAATGGCGAGGGTGGTTGAGAATGCGGGAGATCTGCAGATGAGCAGCCAATCTGCTCCACAGGCGGACTAAAACAGCAGCTTTACCAAAGTCTCTGGATGGCCTAAGCTTAGCAGGGAACATATACAGTGGTCGTATCAAGATCTTATCATACATTGTCAATCAGCAGCCTGCAGATGCATATAAGGGTATCTCTCTTCACAAGAAACGTCAAGTTCGTGCATCACGTCACTACTGCATGACTGCTATGATTTGAAACTCGAATCGAGACATCATGTGGCCGAGACACCAACCTTTGTACTTTATCTATCGTGGTCAGCTTGCACAACGCTATGACGCCATCGTCGGTACCGGGATTGCACACTTCCAGCCTCGAACCTCAATACTCTTTCGAGATAACAGAAACGTTCCTCATTCTTGTTTGCACTTCGCGATATACGTCAGGGTTATCGAACATCTGCGTCTTTCCTGGCCTGGTTGTCTTTGTGCCATCCATGCTCGTTTCGACGTGGTATCGAGGTACAGTGGTTTGTTCACATTTTGTAAATTGTCGGTAGGCTGTACGATGGAGGAGCCTGAAGCCCAACAGCTTTCCAAGTCACTCAGTAAAAGCTACAGATAGTTCGGCAAACTCTGCCGATCTTTGATGGGCATCTCAACTGCCGTTTTGCTCCCACGCTACGATTCACGACCGCAACAGGTTTCGCTTCTAAAGGATTCCGGTTACGGGATCTCAGAAAATATATTCTATGGATCTCTAGACGTTCTGCAGATCCCCTTCAGTATCGGACACTTGCATCGATACTCTTGGCTGGCAACTACCAACCGGACAATGGAACGAGAGCTCGTTTACATGGACCTTTACAAGGAAGCTGCGCGGTGTAGTCTTTGGAACTCCTGGTCCACATGGATGTCGCACAAACGCGGTCGCACCCACAACCGTTCTACTACTCCCTGGCAAGAATTCCGTCTGCCATGGCTATATCATTACGTTGATGTCGGACTAGAATGAGTTTATTTGTGAAGACATACATGTAACTACGTAGATGAAGGAAACCTGACGTACATAGGTTACTAATAGCTATCGCTTAGTATTGGTAAATGAGCATAAAGGCTAGCGATATGTTACAATGTGTTAGAACAATTAGTAGAAGATACAAAGGAAACATCATGATTACTCAAACAGGAGACCAAGCCGAGACCCAATATCGTGGCCCTGCCACCGATTTTGAAAAGAACGCCATCCAGTTGCTCAACTTTCAGTTGTTACGCCACGTTATCTCGCAAATCCCGCACCCCTAGCTGAGTACTTTCTCCCACTCCCCACGCTACCGGGCCTGCTAGCAGGTCCCGCACTGATCTGTCTTACCCTCCCCTCAACAACCTCGTAAACTCCATCAGGGAGGTATGTCTCCCGTTCACTCTGCGTCCTCACAATGCCGCTTCTACCTCTTCCCCGCTCCTCGCCACCTAGCATGCCAGGGTAGTCGATACTCTCACGGTCCGTGATGGCATCATGGCGGTAGTCGTTGGCCTGATGTTGGAAAGACGAGCTACTAGCTGCTCTACGGGGTAGAGTTTGCTGCTGTTGTTCGGCGAGTAAATCGCGGTTTACGAGCCGATTCAAGGCATTGTTTGACAGGCTTCTTTGAGAGATGCGGGATGAAGGTCGACCGCGGGTTTCCATCGCGTGACCTGTTCTGCTTGAGGATCTGCTGCGCTGTGCCACTGGTATTGGGGTAAGGTCGTCAGTCCACCACTCTGGTCGTACAGAGTTGAGTGAGTCGGAAGACGTGCTGCGAGTGTGGCGGTGGTGTGGCATGGTTGGTTGATGCGTTTCCACTGGAAGACTGTTGTCATAGAGACCAAAGACAGGTGGTGGCTGAGACTGGCTTATGTGACTGGCCAGGCTGCTAGCGCTACTGTTGCGCTTTTGCAGTTTCCTGCGAGGTCGCTTTTGGCTGGTGATTGTTGTAGTCATTGTCGTTGCTGGACTGAGCGGTGGTGAACGGTGGAGTCGAGGATCCACAGGTGACTCTTCTGACCTCTTCCGTCCGCGCGCGATTGTAGGCGCGGCTGTCTCATCAGAATCCGGACTCTCACCATTACTCCAAGGTCTCTTTTCAGTGGTACCACTGTTGGTATTGCTTCCACTGCCACTTTCACGACTCAATATGCTCTCTACGAGTCTCTTGTGCCATGAGCTGTTTGCGTAGTTGAAATTGAGTCGTTTTTCAGGGTCTTTCTTTCCGAACCAAAGCGGCTCGCTTTGGGAGAAGCCAACGGCGGTGAGCCAAGGGTTGCCGGGCGCATCATGTGCGAGCTGAAAGATGACATCGACTTCTTCAAGCGACCGGAAGGCAGTTTCAGGATAGAAGAAATAGACCAGAGGAAGAATGGCAAAGTTAGTGACTGCGAAAATGATCCAAGTGCGATAGGAGATGCGTTGGAATGCGATCGGCGTGATGAAAACAATGCTATTCAATGTTAGTAATTTTATCAGGAAAACCAGATCAGTAGAGTAACTTACACAAAGTTAAGCAACCAGTTGGCACTTGTCGAAAGTCCGTTGGCAGGCCCACGGATTCGAAGGGGTACAATTTCGACCTGGTACAGCCAGGCCATACCCTGCCATCCGATGGCGAAGAAAACCGAGAAAATGAACAGGAAAACGGTACTGGCGATCCTGCCAGCTTGCATGCTATGCTCAGACCACAAGTACTGCAGAATAGTGATAAGGATCATGCATACTGACATACCCGCAGCGCCGAACATCATGAGTGAGCGACGACCCCAGAAGCGATCGATACCAACGACGACGATGAACGAGGCAAGAAAGTACACAGTCGCTGAGCACGAGGCCAGAAGACGAGCCAGCCATCCCTCATAAGACATGCGTGTGAGGAAGATCCACGAAAGGTATTGTAGAACCAAGTTGATGCCGGTACCTTGCTGGAACACCTGAACAAAGTATGCCAACACCACACGGTGAAAGCCTCTGCGCTCCTTGTTGGAGAACATGCCCGCGCTTGATCCCTGCGCCATAATCAAGATGGCATCCTTGATCTGTAGGAATTCGTCCTTGGTCTCGAAGCTGTCGGGTTCGTCGTCATTCAGGGCCGCAAGGACGGTCAATGCTTCTTGTTCGCGTCCGGTAAGAATCAGCCATCGAGGAGACTCAGGAAGAACAAAGAGCATTGCGATGGCCGGGAGCGCAAACATGATCTGTAAGGCAATGGGGACGCGCCATGATGCCGAGGAGCTGGTGATGTACGCGAAGCCGAAGACGAACCAGTACGAAAGCGCAATGCCAGCGGACACGAACGCTCCTGCGCTGATCATAAGGATTGTTCCTTTGCGATGAGACTTGACGCATTCTGCTTGGTACGCGGGGGCGGTCGAAGTGGTGAAGCCATTGCCTGTCACAACGTCAGTTCTCGTGTCTCGAGTTACATTCTGCTGTATATGGGGGAGCTTACCGAAACCGGCGATCGCGCGACCGACGATGAATTGTGGGAAGCTGTACGAAGACGTTTGGATGATCTCGCCAATCACCCAGAAGGTAAGGCCGAGGATGAGTGTGCGCCGACGCCCAAGCAAGTCACCGACGAAGATTGTCGCGATAGCTGAGACAATACAGCCCAGATGCCATGTTCCAACGGTAAGACCTGCATGTGTCAGGACCCTGCATTTCCCAGTACCATGTGTTGATGAAGATCAGTTTGACGTACCTGCGACCCACGCGTTGTGGAACGAACTCTCGTTCACAATGTCGACCTGAGGAAATCTGTCCAAGAACTGCTGAACGGTCAAGAGACCGCCCATAACACCCTGGGCGTAGCCGAAACATCTTTGACGGATTAGTCTACAGATAATCTGCAAGGCACCCAAAAGGGTGATAACTCACAAAAAGCAAAGTCCGCACGTGATGCTGATGGCGCTCGCTAGACTACGACCTCTGAGACCTAGAAATCTCGCCATTTTGATGAAGCCTCGACAAGTCACGCAAGAAGGAAGAAGGTTGAAGAGACCGTCCTGCGGGCTGTCAAATGCAAGGAACGACCCAAACTCATATCAACGGAGGCGTTGCAGCCCGGAGCGGCACGTCTTTTGGATTAGACATTTGCCCATGTTGCCCGTCCATCCCAGGCCTCCTGGTCTGGCCATCACCCTAACGTCATGCCTGCAGGATCGTCGCAAGCGTGCCGTTAGAAAGTTCATAGCATCCTTGATATCGACATGGTCAACTAGGCTTTGAAGAGATTAGCGAGCGTCGTCAAGATGCATTACACGTGCTAGACACTGGGGTTACCGCCAACGGCCTGTCAGATGAAGTATATTTATGAGCATGCCAGCTGAGATACGGTAATTATCGCAGCGTGAATTTCATTGTACGTGCAATGAGGCGCACAAACTTCTTTCGAAAGTCTCTTCTGCTTCCTATGCGAGTGCGACTTAGCGATGAGCCAAACGTCATGGCTGCACACTTCCCCCAAGCGTACCGTCCGAAGTATCATGCAACCCATGGTCCAGTACCGTGACACCAGGCTCAGGACAGATTAGCGAGGGATTGAAGCTGCACTAAAGTCTGCTAGAAATCGTTGCTGTCAGGTACGCGAGCTGTAAAGCAAGCCGAGTGGTTCGTGAAAACAGCCGATACTTGCGATCTCGATGACCCGCTGATGTCATGGACCTATTAGCGCCGATCAAGCACGAGATCGAGGCCGTTGATACGCCGCACGGGCTCAGCATCCCACCAGTTGTCCGAACTCGAGACGACTCGCTAGTAGCCGAAACGGCTGAGCAGATACATGGTCGCGAACCTTTCGTGATTGGAAGGTTTGGCCGGCGATTCAATACTTGCTTTTTGACGGGAAGGATGCGTTGCAGCAGATATGAAAACTCCGGGGGCGATGCACATGGGGGTACTGCACTACTGTGGCTCCCACATGTTGGTTGGGAATTATCGGACAAGCCGTCCTGGCGAACGAGCGGGCATCTTGGCTAACAGCAAATTCTATCCAGAGCCCACAATTGGGAGATCAGCACCGAGAAGACAAAGGTCGAGCGGAGACGGATATTGGTTTACTATTTGGCTAAGAACTTCTGGAACGCTTCCTGCTCAATAACAACGCTGCCTACAGCCCTCAGCTTCTTCCTACCCTCCTTCTGCTTCTCGAGCAGTTTACGTCGTCTGCTGAGATCACTAGCATGGAGCTTGGCGAGGACATCCTTGCGGTACGGCTTAATGGTAGCCCGCGCCACGATCCTCCTCCCAGCTGCAGCCTGTATGATGACCTCAAACATTTGTCGCTCGACGTGCTCTTTGAACTTCTCAACCCATGTACGACCCACCTTGTCGACCTGTGATGTGTGCAGGACGCGCGACACGGCATCGACTGGGGAGCCGTTGACAAGTAAGTTGAGCTTGATGATGGAAGATTTGTGGAAGCCTGCATCTTCGTAGTCAAGAGATGCGTAGCCTTTGGTGCAACCCTTGAGTTTGCCGAAGAAGTCGTCGACGAGGTGTGACAGAGGGATGTCGTACTTCAGGATGACTTGGGTAGCAGTGAAGAAGGTAAGCTCCTTTTGCTCACCACGATTGGCCTCGCACAGCTTGATGACCTCACCAAGATATTCGTCAGGCATAGTGATGGTGGCAGACACGTAGGGCTCATGGACTTCCTGCACTCTGAAGTGTGCTTGGTCCTGGTCTGGGAAGTCGTTAGGATTGGTGATGATGGACTCGGTGCCGTCCTTCCACACCACCTTGAAGGGTACGGAGGGCGGTGTGATGATGATGTTTGCACCATGCTCCTGACGCAAGCGATCCTCGAACACGGAGCAATGCAGTGTGCCCAAGAAGCCCAAGCGCCAACCTGCTCCCAACGCATCGGATGACTCCTTTTGCAAGGTGACACTGCGGTCGTTAAGGACGATCTGCTGGATGCTGTCTTCAAGATGTTCGTGGTTGTCCTGGTCGGTGGGAAAGGCAGAGACGAAGACCATGCTTTTGGGCTCCTCAAAGCCCGGGTATGGCTCTACTAGCTTCTCAGACCCGATAGTAGTATAAGTATCGCCGACCTTGGCCTCTTGCGAGCGCTTCATACCAGGGTTGAAGTAGATGTAGCCCACCTGACCGGCCTTGAGTACTGTCTGGGGCGTCTGGTCAGGGTACATGATGCCGACCTCGCCCACAATGTACTTGAGCTTGGTGGCGAAGGAACGTATGGTATCTCCAGGTCGCACCTGGCCATCGAATATGCGCACCAACAAGATGACGCCCTTGTATACATCGTACCACGAATCGACGAGGAGCATGCGGAGGGGCTTCTTCAGGTCGCCGACTGGGGCGGGTATCTTCTCAACGACGGTAGGAAGAAGCGCTGCCACATTCAGGCCAGTCTTGGCTGAGACCTGTACGGCGTCTTTCGGCTCGAGCTCGAAGGTATCGCGCATCTGCTCGAGCACCCGCGGCGGGTCGGCGTGGGGGAGGTCGACCTTGTTCAGCACCGGCACCAGCGTGAGGCCCTGAGCGAAGGCGAGGTAGAAGTTGGCGACTGTCTGCGCCTGCACGCCCTGACTGGCATCCACCAGCAGCAGCGCTCCTCCACAGCTGGCATAACTCCGCGACACCTCGGCCCTGAAGTCGACGTGGCCCGGCGTATCCACCAGATGCAACAGATAATCTTCCCCCTCGTGTGTGTATATCATACTGCATGTCTGCGCCTTGACGGTGATGCCACGCTCCCTCTCCACGTCGAGCTTGTCGAGAAACTGCTTCTGGCCGCCGGGCTGGATGGTGCCCGTAATCTCCAGCAGGCGGTCCGACAGCGTCGACTTGCCATGGTCGACGTGGGCGACGATGCAGAAATTGCGGTACCGGTCGATGGGGATCTGGGCGATGCGCTTCTCGAGCTCTCCCTGGGGGCGGAAAGCTTGCGCATACCGTCTGGTGAGGGGCGGCAGGCGCTCAAGCAGGCGTGAGGTAAGCGGGAAGCCATTGCCGCGGACAGAGGCAGAGGCAGAAGGCGTCCGCCAGCCGTGCAGAAGGCTGCTCGCAGTTCGAACGCATGATCGCATGAGTGGGCATGAAGTCGAATCCGTGCCTGGCTGCTGCTGCTGCTCGTCGCTCGGGCGATGGTGTCGACGACTTTTTTGATTTGATCTTATCTTATCGGCGGCCACGGGCGGTTCCTGCATCTGCGCCGCCCAGGGACCCACCGCCAGACCAGACCTCTTCCATCCCAACTACGACCCCACAAGCATACTAGGCCTGACTCTGATCTTCCCACCTACTCGGCCACCAATTGCGCCCCTCACTTGTCGGCCTCACTGCGCTGTCTCGTCGCTTCCTCTTCTGTCAGGCTCCGCAGCTTGCAGTTACCCTATCAACAAGCCCGTAAACAAACCCGAGCCAGCCTTCACCGCCCACCACCGCCACCATGTCTGCACCCAAAATCTCGTCCAAGACCTCGTCCAAGACCTCGTCCAAGACGTCTTCCAAATCCAAATCTTCCAAGAGTGATTCCTCCAAGGTGCACAAGCTTGCCCTAAAGGGTTCTTCCAAAGTCGTCAACGAATTCGTAAGTCAGTCGAGCCAAGCATCGCATCCTACGCTTACCCCAATTAGTTCGAGTATTCCGTCAATACCATACTGTAAGAACAGAGTCCTCTTACGGCGCCTTCCTTCTACATGACTGACCCCTGCCAAGCTTTCAAAGAGGTGTTTACCCTGCTGAGGACTTCACCGCGTAAGCCTGTCCCACACTACAGCGGCAATCTTCCACTAACAACATTCAGAGTAAAGAAGTATGGCTTGACTATGATGGGTACGTGACCTGCCAGCTCGACTGCCAGTCTCTCTCTAACCCTTACAGTGACTGCCGATGACCAAGTCAAGGCGTATATCAAGAAGATCATGGGTCAGTTGAAGGAGTGGATGTATGGGGGCAAGATCTCCAAGCTTGTCGTTGTCATTACGAGCAAGGAGACTGGCGAGCATGTCGAGCGCTGGCAGTTCGACGTAGGTCATGCAAAGTACGCTACATCTCAGTTTCTGATAGCGTCCAGGTTCAAATTTACGGGAAGAACACAAAGGCAAAACCTTCCAAACAAACGGCGGATCAAGAGAATTCTGTCCCAGAGTGAGTGCGCCAGTTGGTTTATCTTGACCATGTGCTAATAGCTCCTAGCGCTGGCGAAGCATCAGAAGAGAAGACCGAAGCCGAGATCCAGGCCGAGATCCAGTCTGTATTTCGGCAGATCACAGCATCAGTGACCTTCCTGCCCATGCTCGACGGAAACTGTACCTTTAACGTTCTAGTTTATGCTGATGCTGACTCCGAGGTGCCCCTCGAATGGGGTGACAGCGACGCCAAAGAAATCAAAAACGGGGAGAAGGTGCAGCTGCGAAGCTTCAGCACTAGTAACCATCGTGTAGATACTCTGGTGAGCTACAGGTGAGTGGAACCATGTTACTCGCTACAGGAGCGATGTGCTAATTCTTCAGGCTTGCCGACTAAACCTAATTGTCTTTGAGCTCTCGGACTTTCTTCATTGTTTCCAACATCTCGGTTCCCGATTTCTTCACCAAGGCGCACGGTGTACACGGATTGCGGCATGTATTTCAGGCATCCAAGAACAAGATTGCAGCATTTCCCAACATGTCCCGAGCGATAATACTCATACACCAATGTCAATTACACAGCTGTCCTCGCGTTCCTCCAGACGCCGGCATGTCCAAACTTGGTCGTGCGCCTAGGCCTCAAAGGTTTTCATGAGTTCCTTGCTGCATCGGCACCTATCCTGGTAGTTGGGCGGTGATTCGTGGTTGCGGTAGCTTCGTTTGCTCGTACATAATTTCCTTCCGCTCTCTTTTGGTTCATAGATGTGTTGGTGGTGTTACCACTCTTTTCTTGCGAATCAGCGATGCGCATTCGTCAGGCGCAGGGTCTCGCTAACAAAGTCACTAGTTCTTGTCAACTTCGAATTGGATATCAAGATGGCTACGCGGTCGGCTCTGCAACTATGACGGAATTTCAAAACTCTTCGTATGCGCCTGGTCCGATGTTGCAAGGATCCGCATGCCCATAGCACATCGTACGTAATCGATCTTTGTGTGGTTAGACATGACGAATGTCTTCTCATGTACGTACGGAAAGTGGGCATAGAGCTTTCTCGGATATGCGATATCTCCTTATCGCCTCGTTACCCATGTTGTCGTGGTCGGTATCGTCCCACCCTACGCACGGCCGTGTGCTATGTCTTCGTCCTCTCATTTGCCAGACCAATTCAACGTTTTTGCACGCCTCGGCCGCATTTGCCACTTATACCCAAAGTTGAGTCTTTTTTGGATAACCTCTCAAGGCTACTGGCTCTCCCAATCCGATGAAGCCTCAACGTTGGTGATGGTGGTGCGCCGTGTCTCCACAAGCAAATCCGTTGGATGGACATTCAGTTGCTGTCGCCACTAGCTCTGGACTATGAGGAAACCATATGGTAGCGTATATGTAACAGAATACAGACACGATTGCCTGTTACAGCGCAGCTAGACTACTGTTATCTTGGGTACTGTGGCACCTTTAAGCTTCAAGTCCACCCAGTTTCGCAAGGCTCCTCCAAAACAACCTGAATCCAAGCAACTGCCAGAAGACCGGTTGACCCGCAATACATTACACCATTCTTGTAGAATTTTCCGCAGAGTCGTGAGTCGCTTATGATACTGTGGGTAATTTTCTGACTGGATGTGCACTGGCTTCAGAACCATTCCGTTTTTTGATCTCGATATGTGCCTCGTTTTACCTCCTGACCTCCAAAATCTCACTTTCTCTTCTGTCGCTACCTATTATCATTCTAGAATTAGCAATGGCCTTGAAAGATTTAATTTCTCGCAATGAGGGTGAAAGCTCTCGATCGCGCGACGATGCGCGAAAAACCGAAAGGCCGCCGCCGGAGAACCCTCTTGCACCCAAAACCAGGACTAGCAACGAATCCACGGAATCTGGATCCAAGCCGGCAAGCTTCACACCTATGCAACTTGACCCATCCAGCGCTCATTCATCTCGCTCGTCTGGTAGCATCAATTGCAGCAATAGCACCGTAAGCTCAGATGCCGTTCGAGATGTCAAGGCCGAGATACTGGCGAACTGGCTCCATACCAAACAAGAGGAGCGAGTATGGACGTTTGGCGACGCTGGCGAAGGCGTGTTTATGAAAAAATCGAAAGGCAGCTACTCCTGTGCGCCTTTTGCGCTGCAAAGCGATGGCACAGGTCTTTATGAGGCAGTCACAGAATTGAATGTCAGGGTAAGCTGAGCATATGCACACCATATCCAGATCATTGTCACTAACGTGTGCAGTGTGCCATGACTGTCAACACCAGGGTAATCAAATACATCCTTGAGCGGACCCAGGCCCAATATGTTCAAATCCAAACCGGTCTCCGATTGCAGGTCGTGCCCGACTTTGAAGCTTTGCCGTACTGTCAAAGAGGTCAGTCGGCTGCATTTGTTGCTTCACGAGGCATATTGATAGTGTGGCAAGACGACCCAAAGTTGACGCTCGAACGTGCAGAATTCATCATCAACTGCTTGATGAGGATGATGTGCGGCGCTGAGTATGGCTATGATGCGCAGGACTTGGAGTCGGAAAAGGCACTAGGCAAGAACCCCATGGTTATAATCGAGGAATATGACGACGGATTCTATTCGGGTGACGGCCAAGAAGTTGAACCAAGAGACATGAAGATGTGGCAAGCAGCCTATTGCGGACTGTCAATCCTTCTACTGACGGCTGCTATCGGCTCTGGATGCAGGCAGATTGCTATTGAAGAGTTCCAAGCTCCCAAACACTGGCTTCGACTCCTCTTCCTGATCTGTATACCTGCCCAGGTTTGGCTCTCACTAGTAAGATATATCCGTACAATCTGTGTTTACGCTTCTGACTTTGCTAGTTCTTCTTCCAAGCTCTCGTCGGCAATCTTGCTCAGATTTGTGGGCCCACTCACCAGATGAAATCGAACAGCCGATATTATTCAGGCAAAGCGCCCAGGAAAATTAACCGTGATACTTTTGGCAAGCCGCTCCCACACGTTACAGTGCAAATGCCTGTATACAAGGAGGGTCTACACACTGTCATTGAGCCCACAGTGAGATCGCTGAAGCAAGCAATTTCCACGTACGAGTTGCAGGGAGGAAGTGCTAACATATTCGTGAACGATGATGGAAGTGAGTTCATGCACCAGTACATATTGAGCTACACTAATCTGTTGTAGTGCAACTTCTCGGAGCCGAAGAGGCGCAAGAACGACAGGAGTTCTACGACGAGCACGGCATTGGCTGGGTCGCCCGCCCAAGGCACGATCCTAAAGGTGAGCACGGAGCTAAACCCTTCGTCCGACCTGGAAAGTTCAAGAAGGCATCCAACATGAACTATGCCCTCCGTATCAGCTGCAGAGTCGAAGACCTCATGGCACAACAGCCACGCGGAGAAGGCTGGAGTCAGCTTGAAGAAAATGCTCTTTACAAGGAGGTTATGAAAGCAGTTATGACTGAACATGAAGGCGAGGCCTGGACCGATGGCAACATTCGTATTGGTGACTACATCCTTTTAGTGGACTCCGACACCCGTGTACCCAGTGACTGCCTGCTCGAAGCCGTCAGCGAGATGGAGCAGGGCCAGGAAGTTGCCATACTGCAATACTCCTCCGGAGTCATGAACGTCACCAACAACTTTTTCGAGAATGGCATCACCTTCTTCACCAACATGATCTACACTATGATCAAATTTGCCGTCGCTGGCGGAGATGTTGCGCCATTTGTTGGACACAACGCTGTTCTGAGATGGGAAGCGGTGCAGAAGATCGCCTACGAAGTCACGGAAGCCAACGGTAACAAGTACGACAAGTTCTGGTCCGAGGAGACGGTGTCTGAAGATTTTGACATGAGTCTGCGGCTTCAGAGTGTGGGTTATGTTATTCGTCTAGCCTCATACAAAGGCGATGGCTTTAAGGAGGGTGTCTCCCTCACTGTGTATGATGAGCTTGCTCGATGGGAGAAGTATGATTTACCCGTTTCTATCTCCTCAAGCAAATACTAACACAGATCTTCCAGATACGCGTACGGCTGCAACGAACTCATTTTCAACCCTTTGGTCTACTGGCTCACCAAAGGTCCTTTTACGAAGCTCTTCCGCACTTTTATCTTGTAAGTACACCTTTCCGGGCTACGACGAGCCTGTCTTCGTATACGTTCCTAGCTAACCTTTCAATACTAGCTCCAACATGCCTCTTGCATCCAAGATTACCATCATGGCTTATATCGGTACTTACTATGCTCTCGGCTGCTCATGGGCACTTACTATGCTTAACTACTTTTTAATCGGTTTCTTTAACGGATGGCTTGATCACTACTACATCAACTCCTTCCGCGGCAAGTTCCCTACAATCCTTCACTGTGCAATTCTCTAACACCTCTCAGTATACTTCGCCATTGTGATCGTCTTCACTGTCCTCGGCAACATCGCCCTCGCCGTCCTTCGTCATCGCATCGAGGAAGAACACATTTTCCGTGGCCTCTGGACAAATATGAAGTGGATCCCTCTCCTCACCATCTTTCTCGGCGGCATCTCCCTGCACGTTTCGCAGGCTCTCCTCGCTCACTTCTTCAGCTGGCCGCTCGAATGGGGTTCCACGTCCAAGGAGAGTGAACGCGTTAGTTTCTTTGTTGCCATCAGCAGAGTACTGAGGAAGTTCAAGTGGAGCTTCATGTTCTGTCTTGGAATGACCGCTACTATGATCACTATGGCGTTCGCGCTGCAAGAGGACTGGAGGATCAAAGAACTTATCGCTGTTTGGCCTATGGGTACTGTGGTTGTTTTCCACTTTTTACTGCCTATTGTGCTTAACCCGCAGTTGATGACATTTACCTGGTAAGCTTTGTCCGAAGAATATATCACTGGGAGGACGAAGAAAATAGCGGAGGAAATAGTAATTCACCCACGGGTGCTAATGCTTGAACTGTGTTTGGCTCTTCTGTACGTACGGGTACGACGTAGCCATCACTACAAGCAATAAAACGTCAAAACCCAGCTTTTGTGCCCTATTTGCATGTTTCACCCTTTCAAGGTGTTCTTCTTCTTGACACATCGAGGCTTTCTATTCACCCACACCAAGTGACAAACTTTTCGACAACGAACTCGTCTAGTCCCCACTGTCCGTTCTGCCGTCCAAAACCACTTCCTTTGACACCACCTTGGCTCCCAGTCGGCGAAGTGTAGACCGAGATGCTGTTGGCATGGACTTGGCCGTACTCTAATTCTCGCGACATCTTCATGAAGCGTCCCATGTCGCGTGTCCAAACAGTAGCATTGAGACCATACGCAGAGCGATTCGCCAGCGCGATGGCTTCTTCATCTGAGGAAACGACGTATAATGATGCGGAGGGACCAAAGGTCTCTTCGTCCAGTATACGGGATGACGACGAGGGATTGACGATGATCGTAGGCTTGAGCACAACCCCGCTGCTCAAAGAAGTAGCGTCAATGCCTCCAACGAGAACCTCGTCACCCTTCTCCTGCGCATCCCGAATAACATCCTCAGCATGCTTTGCAATACTCTCCGATACTGCCGATCCAGCCGGACCCTCGGCTCCCTTCATAGCTTCAGCGAGTAGTCCCTTGAACTTCTCCGCCACAGCCTCCATTACGATAATCCTCTCGGTACTGAAACAAATTTGCCCATGATGCAATACCGCACCCATAGCACATTGCTTCGCCGCTTCTTCCAACTCTGCATCCTCGAGTACAATCGCCGGACACTTCCCACCTAGTTCCATTAATACGGGTTTGAGGTACTTCGCTGCAATCCCCATGATCCTCTTGCCCACCTCCGCACTACCGATGAATTCAATTTTGCGAATGGCTTCATGCGCTATCAACGTCTCGGTGACTTCTGCTGCGTTTTCCCGTCCGCATTGAATCTGGTTCAACACACCAGCGGGACAATCCGCTTCTGAGAAGGCTTTCGTAATGAGTCCGTGGGTTTTTGGACATAGTTCACTTGCTTTGAAGACCACAGTACAACCTACTGCGATCGCACTTGCTATTCCCCGTGTTGCAAGAACGAGCGCTGCATTCCAGGGCGCGATACACAGAACCGGTCCAACTGGTTCCTTGAACACAAAACCCTGGGTGTTGGGCTTCTCGGTTGGAGGAATAACGCCATTCACAGAACTTATTTGCGCAGCGATTTCGTTAAGGTATGAGATTGATAGGTTGACATTTTGACGCGCCCAGGCTTCTGTGCAGGATGTTTCTGCGATTTGCGCGGCGACGAGAGCGTCGGCGTGGGTGCTATAGTGCGTTGCAACACGTTGGAGAAGGGCGCGTCTAGTGGTGTGCGAGGTTGAACGCCATGATTTGAAGGCGGAGAGCGAGGAGATGGCGGCTTGAGTCGCTTCGGTGGAGGATGCAGAGGAGGCGTAGTGAGCGATTTCCTTGGATGTAGCTTGGGTTACTGGGATGGTGGTCTTAGTGTGGATGGGCTGGTTGTCGATCCAGAGGGGAATCGTGGAGTCCGTAGGGGAGGACATGGTAGGCAAACCTTTCTCCTAGCTTCTTCGGAACAGACGAAAAGTATACAATTGCTAGACCAAGTTGGATCCGATTATTAGAAACCCGATACCTTCTGGGATGTGTCTGTATTTCAACGGTCTGGAGTATAGCCGCATGGCGAACATTGCGTCATTGCAAGGCTAGCCGGCGCGAACGTTGATGCCGATCTTTACGGTAGATGAAGCAATTCCGCCAGTAAGGGAAATGGCATCGTGACGGGTATCATATGAATCGCTAGTGGCGTGTAGAATTTGGAAGGATGCGATTCATGCTCCTTGACAAATCTATCGAGACGTAATAATGCATGTACGCAGTATAGAAGCTATTGAGAAGGACGCGTGGTTGTACATAGCCTCGGAGATAAGCTACCGTACAACTCCGGCTCAGCAACAGCTTTGTCCCAACCGTCCCTCGACAGCAATCCTCACCACCAGCGTGGGCACAACAACTGTCGGAGCTTCGGGGGTGCACCAAGTGACAAAAATCGCATATGCGTATTGATTACAGACTAATGTCATCGCTGAATCCTTTAGCAGCACCTCGTCCGCTTCCGCCCTTTTGCACAGCCATGCGCCCTCATCTATCGCATAAGGGCGAAGCTCCAAGGATAGTAGGATGCCTTGTGCTGTTGTGCCCAACATCGCGTATAGCCATCAAGGATCGCTATAATGACGGCTAATCCTCATCCAACTTACACAGCTAGGCCTTTGGTCTGCAAGTCGCTTCAGGACTACCTTTCGACCTCCCCAGAATGAAGCAGAAGACACTCGAATGGGCAGGTCCCTATGGCGCCTGGTGTTCAGTCTGTTCCCCAGAGACCGAAGAGACGCACATGAACCTCCCTTTTGGTCTCGTTACTCTCCCTTCAGAACCTGCGATGAATGCTGCTGGCCGGACTTCAGACCACCCTTTCAAGGACCTTCGTTCCGCCCACCGCACCTACCAACGTTCCAAGAGATACCCTGAGCGCATCTATAGCGGCAACAAGCGTCGTCGCTCCGATAAAGCTCCACGCGCTCGAGTACTAGCATCCAAGGATCCTTACAAGCAGATAGAAACCCGAGAACGGGACGGCGACTGGGACGGCGACTGGGACGGCGACTGGGCACATGAAACAGACATGGAGCGCATAGACGACATAGCTGCGTACTACCTCTTCGGCAAGAACGCTGACATCTTCGAGTACCACAATGAGGGAGACATAATGGCTGGCGAAGACTTCGGGTCCTGGGCACGACGACGTATCGCAGAAATGCGACAAGTCAAGGAACATCGCATACACAGATACGGTGAACCTACAAGCCCTTCACCACTATCAGTCTTACCGCATACGATGCGCAACGAATCGCGTCCCGGTCGTACCAGCGCCACCATCCTCACAGCGCCCTACGCAAACTCCTACGAAACAACCCTACCCACGAGTCTCTCGGATATTCGTGCGCACCTCACACTAGCTTGCGCCCTCACACCTTCCGAAAACCTCAAACAGCGCTGCCGTAGCCGCAATCTGCCAGCCTTGCCTATCATCTATGGTTTCGACTGGTGGGGCGAGTATACTTGGCAATGGCATAGGAACATGTCTGGGTGTTGGTACCTCGGCTACGGGCACGCGTGTCAGGAGAACTGCGAGGAACCATGCACACGGCCGTGCTGGGGTCATATGCTGTACGAGTGCTATTGTGAGGAGTTTGGTGTGGGAATGCATTGGGAGGTGCCAGCGCCGGAGGATGTGCAGAGATGTAGTATCGTGGAGTGGGTTGGTGGAAAATTGAGGGAGGATATGGAGGACGACGACGACGATGACAAGGTTGTCTTGTGGAGGCTACAAGAAACAGTGAGAGAGGATCGACAGGGTTCAGAAGCTGATCTTGGTCAAGAACGGGAGTATGGGAACTACTTCGAAGATGAATATGTCATCCTAGGAAAGAGAGATGAGGATAGTGATGCATGGAGTCTCATTAGCAGTGTTGACGAAAGGTCTTGTTCATAAACAATGATATGATTGAAGATTTCAACGAGCATTACCTATACAAGTCGATCAGACTTCTAGCTTCTTCTCATCAACGAAACCGCCCTTTGCCCTCTCCGCTCTCTCAGCAGCCTTCCTCTTCTTCGCATCCACTCTCTCCCTGTCCTCCCTCATCTGCCTGATCAACGCACTCTTTTCTCTTATCTTGTGTCCGTAGAGGTAAAAGACTACCGGGATAGGTATCAGCGCGAACTCGATGAGCGAGAGCATTGTCGCACTCCAATGCGGACCAAGGCTCTGGTACATTTTTGGGCCTGCAAGGGGAAGGGCTCCACCCATGGCAGAACGCAATACGGCATTTCCAGCGAGAGCAGAAGCGGCGTAGATGCCGTATGAATGCACGAGATAGTTGGATGCGTAGATAAAGACACCGCAGTTGCCGGCACCGAAGGGAATGCCGGCGATGAGGGGAAAGATCCAGTGGACGTTAGGAGTGCATGTCCTACGCCATATGTGTTAGTAATGTAGCTTCTGAGGACGATAACTAATCGTGGAGCTGTACATACCAGGCAAAGATCATCTCGCCAACCGGGACGCAAACTGCAGCGATAACGACCACGCTGACCATGGCCTCTGGGTAGGGCTTGCCAGTCTCTGGATCCTTCTTATGACTGTTGATCATACGGCGAAGGAGAGGCTCTGAAGCTATCGTGATGACACCCCCAATACCAATACCCATATAACCCAGTCCAACAAGTCCAGGCGACCAACCTCGGAGCTCGCCGAAAACAATAGGGTAAGAGACGAAACACAAGTACAAAACTCCATAGACCAATGCTATATATACGTCCCAGAAGATGCAAATCGGCTCGTTGACCGCCATGCTAAGGGGTCGGTAGAGGTTCTCCCGAAGCAGAGGCCAAAAGGCTTTCTTCTCATCGTAGCGCGAGTGGTATCGTGAATCGGAGGTTTCCTTGCGCTTGTTTGCTGACTTGGCGCGAAGGATTGCTGGTTTGTATGTTTCTGGGATCATGAAGACCATGAACCAGGATGTACCAGAGCCGATCATGACAACCCAGTTTGTCCATCGCCAGCCCAGGGCTTGGAAGACGAATCCGCCAATGAGAGGCCCAATAACTGGACCATTCATTGGCCCCTAGATTGTGATTAGACTTACTCAGCAGCAAAGTTAATAAAGTACTCACTAGAGACCAAATGGAGAAAGCAAGGGCGCGATATTCTTCCTTGGATATGTCAGAAACCGTGCCTGGGGCATTGGATATCATGGCTGCGCCTGCAATTGCGCCAAAGAAGCGCATGACGAGAATCTGGGCTAGATTGTTCGACAGAGC